AAAAAGGCTTAATACATAATTTGTTTAAAAATTGATAAATCCAAACTCTAGATATTTGCATTTTAAAATTTGAAGCGGGTCCAAAATGGCGGCTGTCTCCGTAAACTCCGACGAGCAGGTCGGCACTCGGAGCTCCTCGGGTGGCTGGTACCTCGCACACTCAACGGTGTTCTACCATTTCGGGTTTAATCCCGATTATGTCTGAATTTTCTTTTTCATTTTTTAGCTCTAATTTACGCTTCCATCTTTATAAGTGATGTTTTTTTCTGTGTGAATCCCGCGCTATTTTCATTTGTTTTAAATAAATCTTTAAAAATCCTTGCATTTTTGTGAAGGACCCATGTTATATTTTACGGACATTGGTAAGTCAAAGTTTTCCTGAGAAAAAAGGTTAAATACATGGGTTTTTTCACTTATTAAATAGTGATTGAGAGTGATCTCCCGTGTAGAATTCTCTAAGCGATGAAAACCAATAAAGCATATGTTTACAGAAGTAAACAAAGAGCACGTGTACTTCCTTCAATGGGTAGAATCATCTATACAGCAAGAAAGAAATGGCTTTGTTGTACATTGTATTCAGGAAACAAAGAGCCAACAGGTCTTCATTTACCATAGTTATGCTCAGTGTGCTGGGAAAGGCAAAGATGTGACATATGCTGAAAGGTAGACCGACTGAGATCAGTTTCTAGGTTGTATGAAAGAAGCAGCATTTAGTAACTACGAATAAAAATTGAAATAAATCCATGCCAATATTTTTATGACAATTTGTTTCAATCAACAGGTAAAAGATTAAAACACCAAACTTTTATGAGTAATAGACTTTGAGGAGTAAGCGAAACCATTTGGATTAAACGCATCAGTCGTCACTTCCGCTTGTCATAGAAAGTGATCAAAGAAATAAAAAAAATTCAACTTTTCTTTTTTAAATTTAAACTTGCATCACTTTATTGCATCTCTTTCACTGTTTTGAAATATGTTAGATTCTACCGGAAAAAAAACCCCGTCAATTTCCAGTTTAAGGACATAAACTACGCTATTTTTATATTTAACTTTCTCATAAATATTTCTTATCGATAAAGTGCTTGAAATAATTTTATGTATGTTGTAGGTACTGCAAATGTCTAGAGAAAAGTCAGAAATTTTTATCAAATTCACTTCTAATCGTGTGTTTACCTTCCTCAAATTAGAATTTATTCTCACAATATTGGTCGGCAACAGTAAACGACTGAAGTCTAAAACTTTCAGGACTGATAGTCAGTCATTAGTTTATTTGAATCGTGAGAAAATCTTGTATCTCCGTTACTTCCGATCGTGATAGGAAGTGATGCAAAAAAGTGAATGGTTAATGGTTAGCACGTTGGATTTTCACGCTGACGACCAGGGTTAAATCTCCAGAGTGTCTGAATTTCTTTTATCACTTTTTCAGCTTGAATTTTCCTTTTTATTTTCAGAATCGGACGGAAGACCTCTCATTGCTCGCAATGAGTTTCTAGTTATTATTAAGGTCTTCCGTTTCCAACGGAAGACCTTCTACTGATTCTGTTGTTTCTTTTCCACTATTATTATTATTTTTTTTTCTTACCGATTTTGTGCAGACGATTTCTCGAGAACGCCTGGATAGATTTTCATGAAACTTTCAGCAACGATGGCAAGTCATCTGAACTTAATGCGTTTTTTTTATTTTGCCGTCGTCACTTCCGGTCGCGAGATACGGCCAATTTTCCATTTTTAAAGTGGCATTTTGTCCGCGAGTGTTCTCAAAAACGGTTTGAGATTGAGTCTTGAAACTTTCAGGGATGATAGATTGTGACTCGTAGAATTGAGAAACGTGTTTCGCTTTTGTTGCCGTGACGTCCGTTGTCCACCGGAAGTAGTTTAAAAATATGCAAATTTTTATTTTTTTCTTTTTGAAATGTTTATAATAGAGGCAAATAGACTGTTTCGAGTCATATTATTTCCACCGGAGGTGATTTCTTCCAAACCGGAAGTAAGCGAAAAAATGCTCATTTTTCCTCGAAACTTTGAGGGATGATTCCTCCACACTCAGTGAGGAGTTAAAAGTCATTTTGAGTACTTCCGGTCATACCGGAAATGAATGAAAAAGACCGGAAGTTGTTTGAAATTGATAGATTTCAGTCTTTAATGTGTTACTAAACATATTTTGAAGAATTGACATGAACATTTTTTTTCATTTAAAGATTTTTTACTTTCTTTTATCAATCAAAATTTCCCAATCAAGATCTTATCAGAAATCTAATGGAAGACCTACTCGTTGCTCGCAACGAGATCTCATCTAGTTATTCTTATAGTTCTAAAATATATCATTCCTATTCGATAAAATGTGATTCCTATTCGATAAGTTGTTATTCTTCTGCGAAAAAAAATATTTCTACTCGATAATTTATTATTCTTGTTAGAAAACTTGTCGGTTGAACAATTTGTCTACAAAGATTCCACCCAAGAGCATTGTCGGTAACCCACGGGTTTTCTATTTCGTTGAAAGAAGTGTAAACGGATAAACTCTTGGGTAACCCGAGACTAGTCGTATGTCTGTCTTTGTGTAACTCTTGTTTCCGGACAATATCTCAAGAGGCCTTTGAACTTTTGCAATAAAATTTTATATCACATCTCCGTATGGCCTAAAGAAGACCCCTATTGATTTTGAGGTCAAACAGTTAAAGTTCATAAAGGTCAGAATGCCTATAGCTTCCGATATTAATAAAATCATATTCAATTTATGAATTAAGTCTTTAAAATAAAGTTCTCATTATTCAAATTTATTAAATTATGATCAACAAAACTTTTCTGAGAAAAAAGATCTCGGAAAAAATTATTCTTTTATTAAAATAATAAAATGGTATTCGTGGGATTCGAACCCCTAACAATAAAAATCCGTAGTATCATACTGTATTGAGACTAACACGCTAACCACTACGCCACGCAGCTCCTGACGAATAGTGGCATTTAAATCATGTATGTGATATGACCCTTGACTTAATGGACTTCAAGTATTTCTCGGAAAGATGCGAATGCTTTGTCATAAAAGTGTACTTTTAAGGTATAGTGGGTCTTTGCTCCATGTTTTTGTAAACCAAACAATGTATATTTTTATGCAAACTTTTAGGATCAACTTTCAAAAAAATGGAGCGAAGACCCACTCATATCGAAAAATTTTGTTAAAGTGTGTGAAAATGATCCTTTTTGTCCTCTTAAGTGTGTGTATGCTATTTCGTAGGCAAATAATTTCAGTCTTTGTGAGATTTTTGTAAATTGTAGAGATTTAGCATAAAATATACTTTAATGTTAGATGAAATATCAAAGAAAATTTTTATATAATTGGGATTTTATTTTTCACTTCATGTCTGTCGCACTATAGGCACTTCGCCCGCCTTGTTCACCCATCTTCTTTCATACATTTTATTTGGGCTTGCTTCTCTCACTGAGAAGCACCAATCAAATTAAAGTAGACACATAATATAAACAGAAAGGATCAGTTGACACATAAAATGCACATGTTATGCATTGTTCATCACCAAAAGGCTTAATGTGATTGGTTGAGAGATACTAAAAACAATCAAGATTTGTAATTTTCCCAAAAGACGTCGTTGCAGTCAGCCCGCAAGATATCGAATGAAATTTGTCAGGGGTCCAACGGCAACGTGTTGATCCAGGACCACTGACGTTATGAGAACGATCTCGAGCAGCCTTTGAGCTTTTGCAATAATACATGTATTTCATATTACAATCTCTGTGGCCTAAAGATGATCTCTTTTGATTTTGAGGTCAAAGGTCAAGGTCATAAATCCACTCATTCTGTTTGTGTGTAACACTTTCGTTTCCGGGTAATATCTTTAAAAGTCATTAAGCTTTTGCAATGAAATTTTATATCACAAAAAGAATTGTCAAAAAAAAAAAAATAAACCAAAGGTCCAAAGTTCAAGGCCAGAAATATATGTTGCATATATAGATTTCAGATAAATAATTTTAGTTTTTCTGTAAGCTTATGCAATGAAACTTTAGGTCATTAATTTCTTTAACTTTAAAAAAGACTCCTGTTGACTTTAAGGACAAAAGCTGAAAGGTCAAGGTTGACCAGCCTTTTTTTTTCTTTCCTTTTTTCTGTCTCCATCTGCAAAATTTGTCCAGTTCTTCTACCATCTTGTTTTTTCCTTCAGCTGGGGACACGATTAATTTAATCAGTATTTTATTATGTAAAGTCAGTTTACATAATTGGATTGGACATCAGGCATGGCCTATACAAGTCCTCTCCAAGAAGGTCAGGGTTACAAATGTTAAGAATTGACAATGACTTACAATCATGATGAAATAATTCATAATAATGGGGACACAAACTCTCTGAATTAGCTTGTTTTGCTCTTGTTTGGGTATCATTTATTCCATTTTCTATTTTTTAAATTTCTAATGCATAAATAATGTTGCAATCTACTTGTTAAGGTGCTCTCTAATTTTTACGTATTTTACTCAATTAACCCGATACATCGAAATCACAGCATATTATTTGGTCTATATATATATATATATATATATATATATATATATATATATATATATATATATATATATATATATATATATATTGTTTGTAAGAAAATCTGGAATAATTTCTCATGCGCCATTAAGAGTGCCTTTTACATCCATCTCGAGGAAATGGGTATTCGCTTCACGGTCGGTCTTTGCACTTCAGAATTTTTATTTTGCCCTTATTTCAGTCTTATTTATTGCATTATCTATATTTTATTTTTATTATTAAAGCATAAATAACGTTTGCGAGTAAAACTGCAATCTTTTTTTTAATAGAAACGACAATAAAAGCTAATGAGCGCCATTTACATTTTTTGGGAAGGGTGGGGGATTCTTGTCACTGTAAAACAGCAGATCATGAGTTCAGCTTATAAAATTGCATTACATGCTGTTCAAAATATTCACTCAATGATACACAAACTGATTTTCAATATAGAAATGTGACTATAATTGTAGCATATATTGTGTATAATATTGTAATGTAACAGTGGTAGGTCATTCCATTATGTAAGGCCTTGATGAAATCCAAATGTCGTATTGAAGGTTTTTAACAATGTTGTCTTTTGCATGGTTTATCCAATAACATTTCAGTGAATTAATATGTGTTTGGCTCATATAGTACATCGAACAGAGAAACTTCTAAGGTTCAGTTTGAATTATATTTAACTGAAGTTATAGATCAGAATCTTTCCACCAGATGTTAGCAACAATTTAATTCCATCACAAAATAATGTCACACGGATGCCGTACGGATTTTGGACGGCTGGGTCGTTTTGTATAATCTTTCTAATGAATTTTCCGTTAGGATCTAACTGGAAGACGTAACTAGACCTATAACATACAACATACAAATTTCCCTCGGAATCACTTGTAATACCTATTGGATTACTCATCTCTGAAGATTTACATAGTTTAGTCGAAGCTTCAGTATTACTCAGGTCTTTCGAGTAAACAGAATTGTTAGAGTGAATAGTGTATAATAGATATCTGTCTGAAATGGCATGGATTCCGTTACAACTTGAATTATCATACGAGTGGTGTTCTTCAGTGTAATTTCCTTCTTCATCATAAACTCTAAATACTTGACTCTTTGTCGTTTCCGCTAAGGAAACAATGATTTTACCATCAAATGTACAAATACCCCATGCATTATGGGGCAGTTTTAATTCTTTGCAACGTATAATGCAACAATCTGTAATATTTGCTTTGTAAATACCAACAAGATTGGGATCTCGCATTGAGACACAGAATTGAAATTGATGTTTTCGGAGAGCTGCTATACCCCAGGGAGTACCAGGAAGTCGACTTGATGTCAACAAAGTACCATCCGCATTTAAGAAATATACCACCTTACTATTTTGACATGCCGTTACCAAATGACTACCATTAATAACCTCAACGTCCGTTAGACAAGAGCTTTCTTGAACGTTCAGTGACTTTTCCAGCACAAGTTTTCCAGCCCGATAGCCAACGTCAGTGATCTTCAATTTAACCTTAATTTCACAAAATAAATTTAATGATGAATGAAAATTACGCCCGAAATCATTAATATGCAAGTCTAAAACTGGTTTTTTGTAACCTTTCACTAGTTCTTTAATTTGCAAACGGATGTCCGATATATCTTTTTCCATCTTCTTAATCTCCAAAAACAGTGCAATCTTGCTGAATCGTTCAGAATTTTGAAGCAGTTGGATACTTCGCTCCAGCTTCTCTTGAAAAGTCTGTAACTCCCCAAGCTTTGTCTGTAATACCAGTGTCTGTTCCTTTTCAATTTTTGCCAGACTATCAAGGGCACTTCTTTCTTTGTCTCTCAAGGTCTGAATTATTTCCTCTGTCAAACCTTTAACTCTGGCCTCTATGTTTTCTGATTCTTTATTGAAATTCTCCTGGTCACCTTCTATGCGGGCTATCTCTGATTCGCACGCTGTCTTTAGTTCGCAAAATTCTTTGCTCAGACTTGGTAACTTTTCAGCAGAATCTAAGGAACATTCGTCCAAGCTACTGACCTTTTCGCATTTTCTGTGAGATACAGTGGCGCACATCAGACAACAAGGTTCCTCGTGGTCGAAACAGTAGACTTCCAGTTTTCTACTGTTGTGTTGCTTACAAAAGAAGACGGAGCTGAAGGAATTAGTCTGATTTTGGGCTTCAATACGACACACCTTGTGTTCCATTGTTAGCCTGTTGACCTCGTGAAATTTGACACACTTCTCACAAAGGTTATCAGAGCATTCTGCGCACGAGTATATCGCAGGTTCATTTTTTTCTTGCCTTTTGCAGTAGGCGCACAATGTCTCTTTACTTTCCATTTTCTCTTGGTTAATCAAACTGACAACTAAATGGTTGTTTGGTAGGTTTTCTAACCATGCATCAATGTCATCTACCTTGCCGTAGCACTTCCGGCAAACAGGACAATTAAAATTAACCTTATCTGAAAATTTGTTCAAGGTTGTCGATGCATATGAACAGATGCAAGACTTACAGAATGTATGCAGGCATTGAGGTAGTGTTTTCGGATCCCGAAAAACCTCAAAACATATGGGACAAACAATCAATTCATTTGTAGGCGGGACACACGTAGCCATGCCACTAAGACGTTGTATGGTGGCCAAGAAGGTAGAAAAAGTACGTTTAAATATCCTGTAGGTTAAAAAAATAATTTCCTTGCTTGCATCTTGTTCAGCCAATGTTGAATCTACTGGTGTTTTATAAAATTTGTAAAGGAAAAATATTTAGACAAAAATCTTTTATTTATATTTATTTAGTTTATATTAGAGCATATGCTGTGATGTAAACAGGTAAACTGAAGAGAACTTAAGGCGAAGGTATAAATAATTTTCACCGGCGTTAATAGTCATGAAATGATATCATGCATGAATATGTTTTAAGAGTGAAAGTACATGTATGCATGTAAGTCATTTAAAACTTTCATCATGTCCCGGGTACCTGTAAACTAAGAAAAGAAAAAAAATGAATTGGTTCTAATTTATCATATTATCGATTTCAGGGATCATTTGATAGCACTTTATAAACATAATATGATAGGCTTCGAAGACATATTAGAAAAGGAAACAGGATGCCCGGGAAGGGGGGTGGGGTGGGTGACAGATGTAGATGTGGTGAGGAAGAGTTTAAATTATCGACATTTATAACTGAATTTTGTTAAACAGTCAAACATAAACCCAAAATAAATACATGTAAATAAATAAATAAGAATAAAATAAAGGAAAAAATTAAAAAAAGAAAAAAGAGAGACCACAAAAAACAAAATGGGAATCAGTTAACTTTAACTTTACAATTTATTACAGATTCCCTATTAATCAAACAAACAACAGATATTATTTTGCTTGTTTAATGTGGCGCTTCTGGCCGCGGTGATCAATTTGCTGGGGCTACCACAGGGCTGCCCCACAATCAACAATCAATACAACAAATGTGACGACCCAAATCGGGCGGATCATGCACTGGGTAGGTCACAAGTGCATGAACGTCACCAATTCAATTATAAATCAAGTTCAATCAATAAATCAATAATCAATCAAGTTCAATCAATCAATCATCATTCAATCAATCAATTCAATATCAATCAAGTCAACTGCTTGTCAATTACAAGCCAATGCACAAATTCAAATCCTGAATTTCAATTTACATGTGCAATAGGATAAACAATGGAATGAGCGTAAGAATATGTGTTGCACTCCTCCAGTTGCGTTGAGGTGCGACGGAATACGCAAACACACAGAATTACCACCGCGACATCGGTTGAAGTGGACGCTGTATCAAGCAGGCAGTCATCACGGAATACGTAAACACACAGAATTCACCACCTTGACATAGGCTGATGTGGACGCTGGACCAATCAGGCTGTATTTACGGAATGAGCAAACACACAAAATTCACCATCGGCACATCGGCTGATGTAGGTGCTGGACCAAGCAAGCCGTCCCTACGTACATATAATATCCAGACACACATAATCCACCACCGCGACATAGGCTGTTGTGGAAGCTGGGCGAAGCAGGCAGTCTTCAGCTACAATGTCACAACAAAAAGCAGCAGTATTTGTTCTAAAAACAAGAGGAGGGTGGGTGGGTAAAATTTAAAACATTGCCACAACTTAACTCCCAAAAATTTTCCATGACCTTACCGTTTAATTGATTCTTCTAGAAAGGAGGTAGAAAAGAACTTATTATAAGACTATATACAAATGGACCTAAATTATCCGGAATGATAGCTTGTGACTAAGGGTGAAAATTTATATTTATCCGAATGTACGTAACTTATCCGGAATAGATAAATATTACTAGGGTTACTGAAATAAACTCACTTATCCGAGACCAGGCTCGTATAAGTGGTATTATTACAGATTCCCTATTAATCAAACAAACAACAGATATTATTTTGCTTGTTTAATGTGGCGCTTCTGGCCGCGGTGATCAATTTGCTGGGGCTACCACAGGGCTGCCCCACAATCAACAATCAATACAACAAATGTGACGACCCAAATCGGGCGGATCATGCACTGGGTAGGTCACAAGTGCATGAACGTCACCAATTCAATTATAAATCAAGTTCAATCAATAAATCAATAATCAATCAAGTTCAATCAATCAATCATCATTCAATCAATCAATTCAATATCAATCAAGTCAACTGCTTGTCAATTACAAGCCAATGCACAAATTCAAATCCTGAATTTCAATTTACATGTGCAATAGGATAAACAATGGAATGAGCGTAAGAATATGTGTTGCACTCCTCCAGTTGCGTTGAGGTGCGACGGAATACGCCACTTGCAAGGGCCATGAATACTCGTGTCTACCACGAGTAAGAATGGAACTGCAACCGCCACCAATGGAGGTGCCAAGAACCATGGTGACGGCGGCAGTACCTCAACGCAAATGGTCACCGTCGACCAGGGCCTGCTCATTCACCAATACAACTTATAAAACAAGTGACTTATTAGTCAATTACTATTCAATGCATTAAAACAAAATATGAATTTAAATCGTCAACGGTCATTGACCTATTCCGTTATATGTGTTGAAATGCAATTATGGACTTGTGAGAATAAAATAACTCCCGGTTTAATCTAAAATTGTGGATCCATACCTGCACTCTATTCCCTGTCCCGTTGGTTTATTTTATCATATTACTTACCTACTAGGTTGTTACTCCTGTTACGCATTTTTATGGCTTTTATAAAAATTTAAACTATCTTTGCAAGTATTGGTTATAGTTGTACTAAAAAGTGTGGAGTGTATCAGACCCAAATTGAACAAAAACGATATATTTACGTCATCTCTGAACTTAGAATACTTTTAAAAACAATATTTGTGTACTTAACCCCCCCCCCTTCTCATTTCCCCAGCTGCATAAATCATATTTCCTCTTCACAATTTATCAAACAACTATAATCCATAGTAAAAAAAAATAAATAAATAAATAAATAAATAAATAAATCATTGAAATGAAAGAAAGTAAAAATATGTGAGCCTTGTAACAACTACTTAATGGATGCCTAAACATGTACATTTTATAGCCAGCGTTTCAAAGCTAAAATAACCCCCCTGCATGTTGGTGGCAAATGTGCTTTAGCGGTTGCTCCCCAATTGTAGTGAATGAGATTTAAATTTTGTATTCTACAAATAATAAAACATATGGGCATGATATGCCGTATCCAATACTGACTAAACCTGCTCGAAGTTTCCCTGAAAAAAGGATAAACACCTTTTATGACTGGTCATGGAAGTACTTGCAACTACTTCGAATCGTTAAACTGTTTTAATTAAATATAACTGCCAAGGCTTATTAATTTAATCATCACCTATTAAGTGTTTTCAAGTACGACTAATTTTAGTTTTATATAACCTCATGCCATAAGGGTAGTTTAACCTATTTAAAACAAAAGGAAGAATACTTTATATCGCTATTACTTAACGTAATGAAACTCTTTTGCGTTGAAGGTAGGAAACGTTGATTAATAGCCGAGGACAATGTGCTATAGCTATTGACTACACTATGAGATCGATCACTGCAGATTCTTAAGGGACATATATAAGAAAGAAGCCCTGGTGAAATACCTAGCTAAATGTTCGTTGCACCACGCTATGAAATTAAAATGCTAGCTCTCTTGTGTTAATTTTTTGTGGATATTTCCCGCTAAGTAGACTATTCTAATAATAAGTTTAATCATTTTCTTTCTGATAAACGTTATTTTGGAAGTCTAAATATTCCGAATACTTTGACTTGCTTTCTGAAGTGCAACCATCGGCATTAAATTGTACCTTCGGCATACTTATTGTTCGTATCATTCAATTGTCACTAGCGTAAACAATATATGTAAACAACATGTTATGCCCCGAAAATGAATGGAGATTTATAAGTTTCTTGACTTTATTGCAAAACAGCCGCAGTAAGTTATACAATTCGAGGTAATTGCGATACTAAGTGTTCTGAGCATTCAAAAAATATCTGTAAGGGAGTAGTTTCATCTCTGGGAAATTTAAGGTATAATCGTGGACCATTGTGTATCACACACAATTATACATGTATTTGGTAAAAATTAAACAGAATGATAAAATTAGTTTCAAGGCTTAAATCCCCATTAGACACTGACATAGGTGTGCAATAAAATAGATAAACACAATAAAATATCCGAGAAAACAAATCTTGAGTACGTTGCAACTCTTTGTCCATGGGTATGTGCGGTGGAAAAAAAACTGGTATACTTTATAAGGCATACTTCTGGAGATATCTTGGATATCCCTTACCAGATTAGCTTAAAATTGAATGTCAGTGTACCTTAAATAAATGGATCAATATTGTTTTGACAACACATTATTAACTCCTTGGTTTTGACTTTTCTTATGTACTAGTAAATTCAATATTGCAATTTCATATCAACCTATTAAATCTTTAAATAATAATAATAATTGATTCATATATAATTTAACTGATTATTTGACAAGCTTTGTTTCCCCGTCTCGTCGAACACATTAGCAGACTATCCATTCAAAGATAGCCTGATAAGCAACATACGGAGCAAGTACTGGGTGCTGCTTATCCTAGTGAGACTCCTGACCAATCACTTTTATTAATCTGCCTATCACAGTGCTCTAATAGCTTAACTAAATATCAGAACTAGTCCATCCGACGGAGACGAGGAACCAATTTGATTTTGACCATCTTTTTAAAAAAAATTACCAGTTTATTTGAAATATGCCCCCCCCCCTTCACACAAAGACTCGCTTAACCAAATTATACTTTTCCCTAGAATGTAATCTAATAGCTGCGATTAATTGAAGCTGGATTAGGATCTATATCATTTGCCAATTCCACTTTTATATCTAGTATTAGCACAACTGCAACATTTCCTACTTGTTTCTTTTTTGCAAATCTTTAATTACTATTCTAATGAATTACTGGGGAAGTGATAAGGTCATGCTTTGATGGAAAGGAATGTTGTGCCCATTGCAGCTGTTGACTCGCTGATAAAGCTGTCTTAAAAAAATAAAATTAAAAATGTTGACCTGTTTTTGGTAATGTACCTGAAAATAAATAATCATGGTAACATACATCTGTAATCACTATCAATTACTTAAGGTTTTTTATGTACTTACTGCCTTTTGTACCAATATAATTTGCTCCTTGCTTGTGCCTGAACCCTGCAAATTTGCCTACCTATTCTAATGCATATGAAGAATACTTTTCCACAGCTTTGCTGCAGTTTGACTGCTCACTGTGAGACAAATGCTTGCAAAATTAATAAGAAATGTTCTCATCCTATTTCAATAAACTGTGATTTTGCTTTCATTAGTTGGATTTTTATGCAGAAATTGACCATGTGGACCAAATGAGCTCCCATATGTTGTGTAACATAATATACAAGTTAACTCCCATCCCATTATGTAATAGGAAAATCAGTTCATACAATATCATCCATAAAACCTTACACCTTTGTGTTTTCTTAAAAAAAAAAAAAAAAAAAAAAAAAAAAAAAAAAAAAAAAAAAAAAAAAAAGATGACAAACAGTTCTGTTCCAAACCTTTTCAAAAGACCAACGGAAATGATACAAGTCTGCAAATAGAGCATAACACTTACACAATTTAATAAACCTCCTCTCAGTACACACAGTACTTTGATTACTTGAAAAGTGAAAGTGCACAAATTCTCGTGAATGCTTTCTCCGATTTAACGACGATTACATTTTGTAAAATGCGAATCAATATACCTCCTTCGAGCACGATAAATCTATGTAGAAAACAAACTAAAATCCTTCTAGTAAGCCCAGCTTCTGAGAATATTCCGTGTTTTATGAAATTATCCCCCCCCCCCCCGTTATAGCTATGATGGACTCGAAGTTTAACATTTCGCTCCTAAAAATAATAACTCAAGTTAAACAATCATCTGACCCCCAAACTGATCTTAATATATTCCTGTTACCTGTAAAGTCTCACAAATTACAACATCGCGTAAAATCAATTCAATTTACGAAAAAGTCCAATCAGGCCAAATCCAAAGTCAAACTTCGCCATCGATACGTCTAATTTGCTTTGAAACTACAAACCTCAATAGTTATACTAAAAATCAAACTTATTTGATTTAAAAAATTTAAAACATTGCCACAACTTAACTCCCAAAAATTTTCCATGACCTTACCGTTTATTTGATTCTTCTAGAAAGGAGGTAGAAAAGAACTTATTATTAGACTATATACAAATGGACCTAAATTATCCGGAATGATAGCTTGTGACTAAGGGTGAAAATTTATATTTATCCGAATGTACGTAACTTATCCGGAATAGATAAATATTACTAGGGTTACTGAAATAAACTCACTTATCCGAGACCAGGCTCGTATAAGTGGTAATATATTTAATTTACAATTCTTTGTATCAGTATAACGGCGATGTTTCATAAACAAAAATAGTGGAAAATGAAACACGGACCCCTGGAAACACCAGAAGTGAAATCAGTGAGGGGCCTAGGAGAAATGTGTATCTGCATCCATACTCCTACAAGTAAGAGCCTCGGTTAACGTACCAACACTCCTTATATACGTGGCGGCCAAGTCAAACGTATCTCATAGTGAACCTCTTCGTATGCTGGAGTACTGCTTCCAAAGCAGGATAATGTCCTTGTGTTTTTGGTAGTCTGTTCGTTTGTTAAAAAATCTCTACAGAAACTTATTTAGGGGCACTTAAATGAATTCAAACTTTAGAATGTTGTTGTTCATAAAGTAATTTATTTGGAACCGAGGTGATATCCTTTGACAATGAGAAGTCGATATGATGTTCTCATTAAAATTTCAGGGTGTTGTCACCTTCTGTTTACAGTGCTAACAGTTGTCTTGACTATAAGAAATAAGAATGATGTCTTTCAGGAAATTCGGCCCCTAATGTGGTTGTCTTTCAATATAACCTATACACGAGCGTATCCAGTGAATCATAAAATAATGAAAAGTAAAACTAAATTGCGATGAAGTTGTATAATATTCATATAACTGAAGCCCGGTCATCTGATATAGATAGAAACGATAATAGACAATGCTCTCAACAATACGGGATACTATTGCTTTTCAATAAGCTTCATTTCAAAATACAAGTTTAAAAGTTATTTTTTTCTCCTAATATTCAGCAAGTGTAATATTCAAATTTCATATGAAATGTTCAAATAGTGGAGTTTCAGTCTGATATTCGCCTGACTACTATTGATTACAGTAGTTTTACAGGGCAAAGGTAATGTGTTTCTGATAATCAACAAAATTGTTTTTGCTCAATGAAAAATATAAACAAAGCCAATCTAGTAATAAAAATTGATATCAGTTGAAGTTGAACGACATATTATAACAAAAGTTTATGTTAGTGTTGTCAAAATCATGAAGTCAATTCAATCAATCAGAACTTTATCCCTCTAATGTACAATTTCTCAAACACCATAACGGACACCGATTCCCGCTCTTACACAGTACCTCGGAAAGTCTGTTGGTAAACTGATGACAGTTATTCCATACAAATTTGTATTTCCCGTATTCACAGGGGTAATTTTTCGCACATCCCTCAACACAGTGCAGACTCAGTTGACTGTAGCCTGCAGGTTCCTTCTCCATGTGTCCGCTGCAGACATGCCCGTTCAGTCGACTGCTCGATATCTTCACTTCTGAATTGCCTTTAATATTTCAGATTAAGGAATTGTAAAATATTTAAGATAATTTCACAATATCCAAAATACCATTCGTCTTCTTGACATTATTCAAAAATCCAAATCTAGAGATGTAGATGTAAACTATTTTACAAAAGAAAATATGGAAAAAGTGTAACTTTTGTTCAATTAAATCGCCGATAATCACAAATATTTGTTTTTTCCCTCCTCAGCGCTTCTTTATTAGAGTCTAATTCGTACCTAGAAAGTCGAAGTACTTCCCCCTGTACTGGATAAATCTGTGAGTCCAGGACCAGATATATCGAGAAGAGGCGGATCGTCTGTGTTCTATTGGTTGTGCCACCATACATCTCAGGTCTGAGGTGCCAAAGTAGTACGGAAAAGTACCATCTGGATGGGAAATAAGCAACGAACGATAGTGAATCTTAGAAGTACAGTACGTAGTATGTTTGGATCCCAGGAAACCCCCCCCCTTTCCCCTATATATGGACAGGTATTCTGCTCATCTTAATTTTGCCAATTGTTTTGAAAAAAACCTGGAAGACGAACGTGTACATAAATTGACTGTTTGCAAATAAAATTCATGAACATCTCTGGACTCGCGCCCATGTTACCATTTTAAAGATTTTGCAGCCTAAATATGAAAACGAAATATACCTTTTAAAGTTTAAATTGATGTTAGATTAATTTAAAAATACAATTTTTAAAAAGTACATTATCCTGACCATAAGGATATTTCTTAATATGCGTTGTTTGTAAAATCACTGATATGCATATGAATTATCGATTAAAATTCGATTATATCCAAGGAATTCCTCGCTAAAGTAACAATAATCAAGACATAACTATAAATCATAGGGAGAAATGTAAGAAAATCATCAATTTCAGATATTCTATCAAAGTGTGAAATTCCATGCTACGTTTATGAAAATTTAAAAGTAAATCGCGTCTTTCCACTACATCTGGAAAATTTTATTTAAGTGGGAAAGGATAGATAAATTACATGGATTCAAATTGTCAAAATTAAAAAAAAATAATTTTCTGGCTTGTTCTTGTACACATGATATCATTTCAAATTATTGTACTACAACTGTTACCGTTTTATGTACAATCTAATTAAAATTAGATGTTCCGAATCCGCTACCGCTTCTCAAATGGTTTGAGAAGCGGTAGCGGATTCGGAACATCTAATTTTAATTAGATTGTTTTATGTAGTACCGGTAACTTACCATTTTATATATCTCATTTGGTTATTTCAACTGATAACGGCTCTATATTTCCAAGAAAGGGAATGATTTCCACCGGATGATAATAGGCGTACAATGTACCAAGCGTGAAACGTATTTTTGTAATATTCTACATTTCGATTCAAAATTTAATACATCTCTTTTAGAAGTATATGTAGATGTTTTAAAGAATTCCTAATGTGCAAACTGTAACTCCCTAGAACTTTCATTGAATTCTATGCAGAGATGGCAGTAGTTCTAATTCACTTATATCTGAGATAACGTAAACGCAATAATGAAGGAGAGATCTACCGACACACACAAAAAAAATTAAATTTGAAAAACGTGTACTTCAAAATTTTACTTCTTGCTGGACATTGAGAATTCTCATTCCAAAATAGCCAAGCGTCTAATGGTACAAGAAGAGGAATCACCAACACTAGAAAAACCTACAGAAAGAGCAAAAAAAAAAAAAAAAAAACTTCTTGCAGAAGCATTCCCAAACAGAGCAATATTATTTAACCCAAATGTTGATACTGTATATACGTCTGTATTTTAGTAAAACAACAGAATAGAACAATTTAAATGTCATTGTTTTCTTGCATCTTCTACACCGTGTACATAGTTTCGCCTAGAGTTTAAATTGTTTGGATACCAGGTATTTCTTTAAGGATGATCGAGCATTGACAATTGTCTTTAATTTTGAAAAGCATATTTTATGATTAATTATGAAACTTACGAGAGAGTGTTGCCTCATAATTCATTCAAACCAACCACGAGGGCTTTTTTGGTGCACTGGACCAGGATTTTTCTAGTTAGTTCAGTACTGTTCTTTTTTCTTTGTCAACAATGACACAAGTACATGGCGCCTCATGGTTTGGGAAATTTCTTAGTTAACCTGCAAATTTATGTTCAACTTTTACAATATGAATCAATTTAAAGTTTGTATATTTATGTTTATTGATTTATAATACATGTATAGGGTTAGAGGGAAATATCAATTTTGATGAAATTGTCATCATGTACAGATACAAGGTATCTGTAACACGTTTGTCCATTTTATTTTATTTATTTATTTTTTTTTTGGTCCATATTTTCATGGGGTCAAATTTCCGTGATTTAAGGAAAATATATGGGTTTGTGAGGATTTTATTTCGTGGATGACGAATTGTTGAGTAGAATATGTGAACATTTCGAAGTGAACTTAAATTCGTGGACCCCGTCTCTTCATACCTCGAAATCAACGAAAATTAAACCCCCACAAAAATTAATGATTCCACAAGCTCAAGCCAGTCAAGGATAAAAAAAATTCTTCAAAATCCATAATACTAAAAAAAAAAATATCCCGGAGAACTGAGTACCTGTAGCAATTTTCCAAGGACGTCGACTATATTAAAGACTCTCCCTTACAGAAATTGGATTCCGTAAAAAAGTTACCGATAGGTCTAGTTTGGACTTAACACTGTTTAATGTATTGACAAACAGATATATCTAACACATGATTTGATTATTTGATTTCCTGTACGGCATTTTGTCATTTTTTTTCTCTGCAATCTGAATGTCAAGAAAATTAACGGATTTGATTTATTGATTGTATGTTGTTTTACGTCCCGTTCAAGAATTTTTCAGTCATATAGGCCTAGAGACGTCACCATATACCGGTTAAGGGCTTCAAATTTAAACCTTTACTCGACACTCAGGGTCATTGAGCAGTGAGGGTTCTTTATCGTGCCAACGCCTACCGTGACACGGGGCCTCTGTTTTTAAGGTCTCATCCGAAGGACCCGTAACTTTCACTTCAAAGTGCCGAGCGCTTGGCGAAGGAACAAGCTACCTATTTTTTTATCGGCTTAGGTCAGCCGCGGCCGTGATTCGAACACACGACCTTCCGATCACGGAGCGAGCGCTCCACCGACTGAGCTACCGTGACGGTATTAATGGATTTGTATTATTTGTTTTAACTGATTTTCAAAAATCAACATTTACATTTAGTTACCTGTCAATTTTATCAAGTTGCGTATCCACAAATATTATATGGTTGAAAAACGTGACGTCATATGTGCACATTCGTCATGACGTAACGTTTAATGTGACGTGACCTAGGATGCCTTCCGACAAGTCGTACTATCTCTATGTTTCGCAAACCAACATGTTCGTGTACTTGTACGTGTAGGAGGGAAAATATGTGCATTACGCCATCAATTTAGCTAATGATGGAATTCTACGTATCTATGTACGTGTAAATCGCAGAGTATCCACAAGAGCAAACTTGTATCGTATATTTTTTTTATTAATTGTTTATTTCAATTAAAGTTTGTGTTTTTCTAAAACCCGACGATTTAGTGCAAGTACTGATACAAAGAACCTCATTGTTTTTATGGTAAAAAAAATATTTTATTAAGCTTTAAATACACTAATCCTGACTTTCAGAAGAGTATTTTTACGAATTAAGGGTATAAGTATTCTTTTTAGCTCACTTGAGCTGATAGCTCAAGTGAGCTTTTCTGATCACATTTTGTCTGAGTCCGTCTGTACACTTTTCACTTTTTCGACTTCTTCTCCAGAACCACATGGCCAATTTCAACCAAACTTCCCACAAAGCATCCTTGGGTGAAAGCGATTCAAGTTTGTTCAAATGAAGAAAATAGTGAAATTTTGGTGGCATATTTTAAAAATCTTCTTCTCAAAAACCATTGGCCCCCAAAAATTGAAACTTATAGGAAACCTTTGTTACATAGTGTAAATTCAACTTTTTAAAATCATGACCCCTGGGGGTAGGGTGTGGTCACAATAGGGGATCAAAGCTTTACATAGAAATATATAGGAATAAATCTTTAAAAATCTTCTTCTCAAGAACAGCAAAGCCTTGTTTAGTCATATAAATATATACATGTAAGCATCCTCAGGTAGTATAGATTCAAATTTGTTCAATCATGACCCCTGGGGGGAGGGTGGGGTCACAATGGGGGATCAAAGTTTTACATAGAAATATATAGGGAAAAAAATCTTTTGCTCAAGAACAGCAAAGCCTTGTTAAGTCATTTGGATATGTAAGTCATTCTCAGGTAGTGAAGATTCAAATTTGTTCAAATCATGGCATCTGGGCGTAGGGTGGGACCACAGTGAGGGATCAAAGTTTTACATAAAAATATAGAAGAAAAAACTTTAAAAATCTTCTTCTCTAGAACAGCAAACCTTGTTTAATCATATTAATATGTAAGCATCCTCAGTTAGTATAGATTCATGTTTGTTCAAATCATGACCCCTGGGGGTAGGATGGGACCACAAGGGGGGATCAAAGTTTTACGTAGAAATATATAGGGGAAAAAACTTTAAAAATCTTCTGCTCAAGATCAGCCAAGCCATGTTTTGTCATATTGATATGGAAGCATCCTCAGGTATTGTAGATTCAAGTTTGTTCAAATGATGAGCCCCGGGATAGGGTGGGGCCACAATTGGGGGTCAAAGTTTTACATAGGAATATAAGGAAAAAAATCTTTTTTCTCAAGAACAGCAAAACCAAATTTAGTCATACTGATATATAAGCATTCTCAAGTGGTGTAGATTCAAGTTTGTTCAAATAATAACCCCCGGGGTAGGGAGAGGCTACAATGGGGTATCTGACAAACTTTTACAAAGGAATATATAGGAAAAAAATCTTTAAATATCTTCTGCTCAAGAACAGCAAAGCCATTTGTTATATTGATATGGAAGCATCCTCAGGTAGTTTAAAATTCAACACCCCCCCCCTCCGTAAACTTTTCAATACTGAACCGATTTGTGGTTTTTCCTATCCAATGTGCTCATATGAGCGATGTGGCCCATGGGCCTTTTGTTGAAGTTTATTTTTATAAATATTTGCATAAAATCAATTAAATTAGTGATGGACATTATAAATTTAAAAGGATAAATTTACTCAAAAAAAAACTATCCGAAGATAAAGACTTTTGTACTAAAAGCATTTCCAAGTACACGTACAAGCTATGTTGCTAATCGAGAAAAGTGATGTAAACGAGGACTTGCATTTCTAACTTGTACTGTACACGCACAGGTTGGTCTGCGAAACATCTCTATTATTTCCGTCAAATACGTGTAATCCCCAATTCAATCATTGAAATAAACATATGAATAAAATTACATTGGATAACTTGGACAAGTACAGCAAATGGTCGTAAGTGAATCATCTTATTTTTACAAGTGTATATTTCAATGAAAAATACAAGTACAGCAAATGGTCGTAAGTGAATCATCTTATTTTTACAAGTGTATATTTCAATGAAAAATCGGTTTTTGAAAATAATTATTGCAACAATATTTGTGGGTAATTTTCATGGATAAAACATCATTAAATACAGAATTACATGTATTTTCCTCGCAAAGATTTTAAAATAATTTTATTTGTAGGTATTGCCATGACAATTAACGTAAGACAAAAATGCAAAATTAAAATTTTAGTTCTTTCTCTTACTTTCTGAACAAACACTGGTTAACTGTGTCTAAAGGTCACACAATGCAATTTTTAATCGATTTTCATTCATTCGTTCAGGATAGAAAATCGAATAAAAAAATCGAATCTTGTGACTATACCTTTAAGGGCTTAACTCGTAGAGATATTGAGTTTAAATTGTCAATCATCGCAATTCTGGTTCTTCGATAAGGCATTGTTACTTTTTCGGAAAGCAACGAATTTACATTGAGTTTTACATCGCATTATTTATTAGACACATGCCAAATTCTGTATTTAAAACTAGAATTTTTCGTTAATTGTGGCATTATCCGTTTTAAAACTACTGTATTTTATGAAAAGGATCATTTTATACTGATACAATGGAAAATGTATTCAAGTTAATTATAATGATTACAAGCCCATAGAAAGACATACATACAAAAATTATCCTAAGGAATTATGTATCCAACACACATAATAAGGTTTTTCTCCATGATGGAACAAACCACTTATGGCCCCTGATGCTGAGACAAATTGAATTAACAGAATTTAGAAAAGTGTACAATTTATTTAACTCGGAAATTTTCATATCTTGTAATTGGTCATCAGCAAAATTACTTAGTTAAAAATCACTCTGATTCTATGGCTGACGTGTTTCATACCAATTGTTAGGCCTTTGTTTTTATACTATAATTGACTAGTCGCCCGCGTGGCGCAGTGGTTAGAGCGTCTGCTCTAGAGTCGCGAAGTAAGGGATCCTTACGTCGCGGGTTCGAATCCCTCTGTGGGACGTGGAGACCGGTCCTTCGGATGAGACCGTATAAACCGAGGTCCCGTGTCGCAGTAGGTGCTGGCACGAAAAAGATCCCTCACTGCTCAAAATTTGCAGCTCTCCACCGGCAAGTGCATGGTGGCGTCTCCATATGAGTGAAAAATTCTCGAGAGGGACGTTAAACAATATACAAACAAACAAAAAAATAAAATTGATTACGGAATATTCCGTCTTCCTGATCAATGCACAGGGCTCATGACGGGTGTTACCGGTCAGCAGGGGGTTCCTACTCCTTCTACGCACCGATCCTACCTCTGGAATTTCCGGGGTCCGTGTTTTGTGCCCTGTTTACAGATTTGTATTGTTTGAGGGTTTTTGAGATCGTCACTGTTCGTTATCTTCACCTTTTTCATTCTTTCTTCACCTTTGGTTTACATTTTTATTGCTTTATACCGATTTAAGGAGAGAAGTAATAGCTTCATATTTATACAGTTACAATCAACTGTGTTTACCAGATTGAACGTTTCTCACTAACGTTACTATAGCATCGGGGTCATGGCACACCTTTTCAGCATACTCTAATGTCCCAAGTATAAGGTATCCATATGTTGCTTACTTCAAATGTATTTTGCTCGGTTAAAGATAAAGTCAAAAAGTCAGTGTATATTTGTTTCTGGTCAAGTTGTTCGTAAGATTTTTAGATGACACAAGCAGAGGTCTATTTCTTATTTATGTTCCATCTGTCCATAAGGGAAAAAAAGGGGGAAGGGGGTTAAAACATTGGGCAAACAACTTTTAAAAAGTTCACTTTGAATTCATTTTCTAAAGCGCACAAAACAGTCTATAAATCTTACAGACGATTTTCTAAATTGTACAACGTACAAATGCTTTTTTTAAAATCGTATCGGGATCAATACAACTTTCGGTTTAAATTCCAAGGAAAAGCTGTAATGGCCACGTCGTCAACACGAAACACTGGTTGTTTAAATGATTTAGCAGTTTGTCCATTATGTTTTCAGAAGTTTCACAAGCCAAGGATGTTGCCTTGTTTCCATACTTTTTGTCATCATTGTTTAGACGGTCTCATCAAATCGTCTTGCAGTGGTCAAATCTCACTGGGATTTACATGTCCTCTTTGTCGAGAGTTCATTGCAGCTCCAGGGTCAGTAGGCCAGTGGCCTCCAGATAAATGGACCGAATTATTTCCGTTAAATAAATTCATAGAGTACTTGACTGAAAAATGCTTAGGTTTGTCGACAATTAATTGTGACGCATGTGTCGAAGATGGAGAAGACGTGGTAGCGACAAACTGGTGTAAAGATTGTAGGAGATCTTTCTGTGAAAACTGTACAAAAGTGCATAAGAAGTTTTCCACTGTATGTGATCATGAAACATTGTCTTTAGGTGAAATCACGTCTGCCACTAAGCCAGTTGATGTTGTTTCAAAGTTCTGCAGGGTACATAAACAAAATAAATCGGAGCTTTTTTGCCGAGACCATCAAGTACCCTCTTGTGCCCTGTGTGTTCCTATGTTGCATAGAACCTGTGACCACATAGGTTCAATACAGGAACAAGTGATTAATTCTGATAAAACAAATATCCGTGCAAGGGGACTTATGAAAAAAATGAAGGCATTTTGTCTTTTATTTGAAAATATCATTGAGGAGGAGAAAATGAATGTTGCAAAAATTGATGAAAAAACTGATTTGTACACTGATATGATCAGAAGTGTTTATGAAAGGTCAATACAGTATTTAAAGAAACTACAGGAAACACAGCTGAACCAAATAGCAAAAATGTCAAAAGATAGTAAAGCAAAGCTAGAAGCTACTATCCTTGGTCATGAAAATATGAAGGCCTATATACAGCACTCTTTGAAATTGATCAGTGACACATTAGAACATGGAGATGATGTTGATCTTCTAATACAGTATTCTGTAGTAAGAGAAAAACTCAAAGAAATAAGAAAACTTGACCTGAAAACTGTAAAGATAGATTTAAAGGCAACGCCCATTGATAGAATTGAAAATCTAAAAGAGCTTTTAAGCCTAGAAATGGATGAAATGAGTATAAACATTCCAGAAACTATTGACATAGCTCAATCTCAATTGTGTGTTATCGATCAATTTACAGTAATGAATTCAGATATCAGAGGAGGTGCCTTTTTATCCGATGGACGCTTACTCTTGATTGATCATAAACTGCACCGCTGCCTCATTTACACTGAAACGGGTGTTTTGGACAAGGAAGCTAAGTTTTCGAGTGCACCATGGGAAGTTTATGTATACTTAGATCTTCTTTATATCACATTCCCTGATACTAGGGAAGTCAAAATGGTAAGACTCGACAATTTATCTGAAATTAAGACATTTCCAGTAAATTGTACATGCAGAGGTATAACGAAAATGGAGAATAAAGTAATATTAGCGGGAAAAAGAATCATGGAGACCTGTAATGGAGATTTTGAACATCTTGAAGAAACAAAAGTAGATGCAAACACGGATGACTTAGCTGCAGATTTAAATGGGAATCTTATATATTCGTGTTATTCAAAAAATACAGTAACGAAAAAAAGCAACATGAACACCACAAAATTTACTTACAGACACCCCTGTTTACGTGCAGCATATGGCCTGGCTGTTGATGATACGGGAAATGTCTACGTGTGTGGTTATGAAAGCAACAATATTCATATAATATCGGCGGATGGAAATACCTTAAAGATTTTGCAGGGATTCAAAGAACCTCAATGTGTAAAATTTAAAGATAACAGTGTCAAATTTTTTGTTGTGGAAGAAAAACTAAAAGTGATAATTTGTGAATTGAAGTAATTATTGAGAACATATAATAAGAGTATTTGGAATTGTCTTGCATCTTTATAATTAAAGGATTATATTCGATTAAGGTCTCAAGTGGCACCCTAAAATGAACTTATTTTACTTTATCTATGGGTTCATTTTACACAGCTATACAGGTGACGTTTAAATTCATGATTTTCAATTTGATCCAAATACCCTTATCTTAAAAATATGACATCATAAAGTTCATCTTTCCCTGCAATTTTCGAATATTTTGTATAAAATTGCTCATTCTCAAGCATTTTTCTTCCAGGAAATATTAAGCACAGACTTGAACAAACATTTTTCATCCAAGATGTCTTTATCAAAGACGAATTACTTGCAGAAAAAATTTGCTCGTGCAACTGCTCTCAATATTTCCCATAGCAAAAAAAAAACCGTGAAGAAAATGCACATTTTTGTCTCATTTTGATTGGATTGCAAAAATAACTGATTTCTGATACTATACTATCAAAGAGTGAAAATAAATTTGAAGAATTAATGGAAAATGCACGGTAGCCCATTAAGGACCTATCAAAAATATTTTCGATATAATGAATTGTAGAATTTGTTATAACGAATATAATTCGTTATAACAATTTCTTTGAATTTGTTATAACGAATTTAATCTGTTATACCAAAATTTGTTGAATTTGTTATAACGAATTCAAAATATTGTTATAACAAATTAAATTCGTTTAAACAAATTTTAAAAATTTGTTATAACAAATTTAATTCGTTATAATGAATTCAAAAATTTGTTATACCGAATTAAATTCGTTAAATCAAATTCATCAATCAGGGCCTATAAAAATATTTATGAATTCGATATAACGATTTGGCGAATTCGTTTTAACGAATTTAAATCGTTATATCATATTAGAGACTTTGTTTTAACAAATCTAATTCGTTAAAGCAAGTTTCAGAATTCGTTATAACGAATTTAATTCGTTATACAAATTTTTGAATTCGTTATAACGAATTTAATTCGTTATACAAATTTTTGAATTCGTTATAACGAATTCAACAAATTTGTTATAACAGATTAAATTCGTTATAACGAATTCAAAGAAACTGTTATAACGAATTAAATTCGTTATAACAAATTCAACAATTCGTTATATCGAATTCAAAAATATTTTTGATAGGTCCTAATTGGGCTTCCGTAAATATGTATCTGATGTATACTCTTTTATAAAATTACAAAACAATCGAACATACCTCGATTACTTTTGAAAATACTGATGTACCAGGATGGGGACCAAAATTGACTCATCATAATTGTCAAATTAATTATATACTCCTTAAAAGATATGTACATTCAAGTTTGTCCTAGTCATGGCTTCTGTTGTTAGGGTGGGGACACAATAGAGACTCGAAGTTATATACATGAAAATATGAGAAATTATATATTTTTGAAATTAAAGAAAATCTTTTATTAGAGCATCGGGGCAACGATTATTCATTATGCATTTATGCAGAAAAAAAAAATCAAAGCCATGTAAGTCATAACGATATTGAAGCATCCCATGTTATGCGTATTCAAGTTTGGCTATATTTCAACCCGTTGGGCTAGGGTGGAGCCACAACGTGGAGACAATTTTTTTTTCTGTGTAAAAAATAGGGGGATCTTGTAAAAATCCATTCATGAAGTACAGCATATGGCCAAGGTGACTCGGGTGAGCGTTGTGTTCTATGGGCCTCTTGTTACTTTTAAGACTGACGCTTGATTTAGTTATTGTCCTCCACCCGGAAATTCATTTTTAGGTCTATGACAAAAACAACAATTGTCAAGATAAACTGTCAGAAACGTCAAGACAAGAATCATGGGCGGGTTTTAGTGAAAAAAAAAACCCAAACAGACAACCATATTTTCAGTTTAGATCCTTTATTTTTGTCTACATCACACCAAACATAGGTGGAGAAATTCCAATTAAATACAGGTTATGTTTAATTTATCTTGACTCACTCTTTGTGTTTAGCCACCCTCAAAGAACAACATTCACCTCGCTCTTTGTGCTGTTGAACTCATCAGGTGGCTAATCCATCGTACTGACTTCAAAACAGCAATAATTGTATAGTACTAATACTAGCATTGCAACTATAGGACACAGTGTTTTGTTTCGGTTATTTTCAAAGAGGCCCTGAGAGAATTTTTTTTCCAATTTAATTTTCACATGTAACAATGTAACAACATATACTTGATAGATATTCATTTCCCGATCTCGCTTTGACCTTGGCCTTACTTTCCTGTTTTTTTCTTAAATATTGTGATGGGTTCTTTAACATAACTATACAATGTAATATAAAATTGTGTAAGATTATTATTTTGTAAAGATGTTTACAGAATCAGTTCGGAGATCGTCGAAAAAATATTGGCAATCATATTTTCAGTTTAGTAGGATCCCAAAAACTTTGAGACATTTTGGCAAGATCTGATCGCATATTCTTTTTTCATCTAAGTTTGTATGTAATAAATCCGTAAAATAAAGGCTGAAAGAGACTCAGGAACTGCTTTGCTTGAAAGGACACGAAAACAATGTTTCATCAGAAACATTTTTGTGGCGTCGTCTTCGCAATATTCTGTTTTAAAGTTTGATTCCTTAGTAAAATCGATGAATTGTTAAGGACAGCTGATACAAACAAAAAAAGAATGCATGAATTGGTACATATTTATGGACTTATTTTGGTTGCAATTCGTTAGGATAATAAATTTCTAAACATTAAGAAAAATTGTAAACTTTCTACGATGTTCAAATTTCCACCTTTCTGCAACCATCCTTATTAATCTATACAACTTTTTGTCACTTCAAATCCCATTATTGCGAATTTTTGAATGAAAAATTAAAATCTATGCGGTTAAACTTATTCATTTTACTTATATAAGCATGACTTAATCAAACATCACACACACTCTTACCACCCTTTGAATTTGTGTTTTAATGGTGATGGTTTAGGCTAAATAAATTTATACAAAACAGCTCTTGTTAAAGATACACTTTCGAAATATTGACTGAAGGATTTTAAAATAACCGAAATAAAAGTGTTAAGACTTATCTATATAACAATTAGAAATATGGCTAATATTATCCTTCTTATTCATTTGTGTTCATTTTCTCTAAATAATAAAGATGTCTGCATTCAGAAAATGTAGATATTTTTCTAATGAATGACAGTTGTCCATAAAATAATTTTACGTAATTTCTCACAGGTCAATAGCAAAGAATTTCGCCAGGAACAAGCCACCACTGGATTCCTGAAAAAATATAATTTGAGCGAAATTGAATAAAAAAAAAACAAATAAGTACATGTATGTATGTTCTATGTCTCGCTTTACAACGTGAGACTTGGATAACGAATCATTTTCATCCTTCTGCAATCCCAACTAAATGGGAGAGGCAATCGCTTCATCTTTATACCACCTAATAAGTTAATCGTTCAGCTGTGTTTACCAGTGTGTCTAACTTACGTATGTTTTTGCAGGATATCTTCAACTTTTCCTGTTTTGATATTAAAGATAAACACTGCACCATTACTTGACCCTGTCACTGCACCGGAAGTGTCTGCGCTGTTAACGGCAAGAATAGAAAATTATAGGAAAGTCTTACATTATTTTGTATTTTTTGGAATTAGTATATCCTCTGCATATTACATCTCATATAGATTCACATCCAATTTGCTTCTGTGTTTTGTTTATCTATTTATTTATTTTGTAATACAATTTACAATTGTTCTTTATTTTATCAAATATGTAAAAGTAGTAACATTGACTACTCCGTGTTTTGCATTTTATGCTATGACGGAATGATTTTTCTTTTACCTGAATACTGCTCTTGACCAATCACAGTGAACTCTAAAGTCGTCATGTCTAAATCAAATAAAAAAAATAGGTGGTTTTAGGATGTTTAATATAACTGTTCAGAAACCAAGGAATCGATTTATTTAAACTGTTTGTCTCACTCTAGTGTGGTTACTATCTGGTTCTTTCTCAGGTCTAACACTTCTAAAGTATCATTTCTGGTACAACACAGCACACTCATTTTGTCTAAAATTGAAATTTCTTGTATTAAACTCAAAACAAGTTAAATAAAAGTTTTACATAATCTTAAATATTTGATTATAATTAACTGTTACTATTGTGCTTACCTGTGGATATGTCCAGAGAAGTTATTTTTTCCTGAAGCAACACTTCGTTGGTGGGTTTGTCTGTACGACAGTCCCAGAATCTTAATCTATGGTCAACATGTCCACTGAGAATGTTTGTCCCATCAATTGTCACAAGGTCATTACACCTTGAAACAGCATTCATCGTGTTTATACCTTGAAATGATCATTAAAGATTAAATATCGATAAAAAGTAAATTTGTTTTGTTCTTATTCGTTTTCAACAAGGACAAAAGGAAAAACCAAAGAAAGTGCAATAAACAGAACATTCAATGTTTCGTCGTTGGATACGGTATATATATATATATATATATATATATATATATATATATATATATATATATATATATATATATATAGCCCCATGCAGGATCCAGGATGTTAGCCAGCTCTTCGAACTTTGTACTCTTATAAAAGTATTCTACGGGTTTTCCCCAATTTTGATCGGGCTAGCTAAATAGGTTATCGGTCTTGTAAACTCAATTTCTTTGGACAGTCAAAGGATCCCTCACAGACCCCTCCCCTGTAAAAAGATGAAGGTCTAAATATGGGATCCAGGATGTTAGCCAACTCTTCGAACTATTTACTCTTATAACAGTACCATAAGCGTTTTTTCCAATGTTGATCGGGCTATATTCCCAAGTTACTGTAAGCTCTACCTGGACCAAAGTTGCATGGATATTGCATATGTATATATATGGATGTACACTTTCAAACTTGCTGCGGATTCTGGGATGAAAATATAAAAAAAATCCGAGCGACATTAATTCCATTTCCAGATACATGTATCCTTTATTTTTCTACTACTTGTAAACATTTTCTTCTTAATTTTATCTATCAATATAAAAATTTTCATAACCTGGATAAAAAAAATCTGCTAACTTAATCTGATTTTTTTTTTTTTTTTTTTTTTTTATAAATTTGGATTCGTGAGATAAGAACATTCTTTGCTTATTGAAATATGAAGCTAAGGAATTAATAGTGTTAAAATAGTGTGTATCAATCATAGTCCGTGGTTCTTAAGTACGAAACTTAACAGTGAACATTTTAAGAAGTATTGCAAACACTCCTCTTTCCAGATATGATGAAAGTTTACAATCTTGGTACAATACTACAATATTAAGGGCAAAGGGTTTTGAGTATATGCGATGCTGGAAACATTTCAAAATAATATTAAGTATTTGATACATACAAGAGCCGTGTTGTAAGTCCCATATTTTTAGTGTCCTATCATAACTTCCAGAGACAATTTTTTGACTGTCTGCCAAGAATTTGGCTGCAAGCACTTTATCACAATGACCAGTAAAAGCTTGCTGTAGCAAAAGAAATATCAAAGAGAAATTAAAGTTGATGTACTAGTAATTCAACAGACGTGCCATAAAAATCATGAAGAAAACGGAAACAAAAATCACCTTGTACAAATATACAATATAATTAGAATCTGTAATTTTAAGCAGAGCAAAAAAAAAAAAAAAAAAAAAAAAAAAAAAAAAAAAATTAAAATTAAACATAAATCTCGGAGTAGTTGGCAGTAAGCAGTTGGCTGTCGTATACGGAATTCCATAGAGTCAAGTTATTGAATTTTTTTTTTTTTTATTTGATCAAAAATCATAAATGTACTAGGATGATGAGTTCATTTTCAGCTTTGTACAATTTACTTCTCAAAACAAAATATGTTTAAATGAAAAGTAACAATCATATTCTTGCCTTCAGTAAGTAATCATTGAGACCCCAAACTCGACTTGCGCCATCAGTTGAAGCTCCAACTATCAACGTTTCCTGCAAATAATTCACTACTTTCTCAATGTTTTCTTGGAGGGTGGGGGCTATACATTTGAAATTCTTGTAAACATATAACAGAAATATTTATAGAATTCCTACCTTAAGGTTAAAATCCAGAGACATGATACCAGCATTGCTTCCTGTTAAGGTTTCTGTACACCTGCATCTTCCCGCTATTTTGCAAAGGAAAAAATATTATTTTACTGTTTTTAGTTTTTAAAGCTCCCTCGTCGAAAAGTGCTTAAAAGTCTCAAAATTTTGAATAGTAGCATCGCACTTAAATATATTGCTCCAGATTTAATCTTTCCGTACAGAGTCTATTCAAACCCCTGATTTTGTTATAATAACCAGGCCCGCAGAGGGGGGGGGGGCTTTTTTTTTTTAATTTTTGGAAGTTGCCCCCCTCACCTTTTGGTCAGTTTTGGTTTTTTTTTTTATTTGCTTGTCAGATTTTTTTGTGAAGCCCCCCCCCCCCCGCCCCCAACACACACACACACATTTGAAACCGTTGCTACGGGCCTCATAATTGTTTATTCAATTCCAATTCAATGAATTTATTTAAGAGAAAAAGTCTGTAAGTTGACCGTATTAAAGAACTACGCACGCTAACTCTCGATTCCCGCCTACATTTTACACCCATTTAATTTAATACTAGTGGCGATTTGGCCATAAAATCTTTGTTGAATGCAAAGAACAGTTCAATGGTAATTGACTGATAATTTTAATTCCAGTGTTGAATATTTGATTACCCCTAATTTCAGCTCTTTAAATAAGTGGGGTAGACGAAATTTTTCATTAAAATCAGGCTTTAAAGTATCATTACATTTTAAAATATTCTTGGATATGAATAAATGTTCCTTAAATCTTTTCTTATGTTTTACTCATATAAAATTAAACATATATTATTAATAAAATACAATGTTTTAGTTGTAAACCCCTTTGAAATTGGTGAAAAAATAAGCATTTTTGTTGTTTTTTGTCTGTAAACATATGCCCCCCCCCCCCGTGAAACACAAAAAGCTTTGATATGAATTTGTGAAATGACAGTCCATATTACCTGTAAAAAGGAATTTTTGTTTCACGGAGGGGGGGGGGGGAGAGATGTTTTAAAAATATTTTCCGTTTTCCGTTGATTTCTATAGTGAAAAACACCAGTTTTACCAAAATTATAGAGTAATCTCTCTTTGTTTTACCAAAGAAGCAATGTTTAATGAAAATTCATATAAATATCTATATACGATCTGAAAAATCATTCAAATGTGTTAACTTTTGAAAATTGACTTGGAGGTAGGCGGGAGAAAAATACTATCGTTCACAGTTCTTTGCAGCCCTGAAAAACGTTTCACATTTCCTGCAAGTAAGGGTAAACATCTATTACATGTACTAGTATTGCTTTACCAGTTTCCCCCTTTTTGGGACAAATTCAAATAAGATACGTGCATATACTAGTAATAAAAATCAATTCTGCATAAACTTATTTACTCTAAAACTGAGTAGCAGTTGATTTTAGCAGACAACTCGGGAAATTCTGACGACTCGTACCTTCATTGATTTGCCACAGCTTTACTGTTTTGTCTCCACCCCCTGTGGCAAATTGGGACCCTGAAGGGCTCCAGCAAATGGCATTCACATCACCATCATGGGCATCCTACAACGATAACCTTACAATAAATCCTACTAAAAAAAATCAAAGATGTACAGGAGCATTTAATGGCAATTTGTTTTTGAAAGTACTTATTTTCATGCCCTAAAACAATATTAAATACTTAAATTATGGACCAAGTACATGCAAACCTACTCACAAATTCGCACAAAACTTCGTAGCATCTTGACCCAACACGATCTTTGGGGACAATTGCAGGATCATCCACCTGTCTTTGTATGAAAAATAATGTTCGTAAAATAACTTTATATCTTACAGGTTAACTTATTTTTTTTCAAATAACAAGATTCTCTCATGATAATAATCTGTTTATACTTCAAGTATTTGGTTGTCATTGCGGTTGTTATTGTTGATTTTGTTGTTTCTGCCGCTTTGGATGATGATGTAGATGACATGTATGTTGTTGTCTTTGCTGTCGTCATCGTTGGTTTTGTTGTTTCCGCCGATGTGGATGATGATGTTGATAATGGAGACGTGCATGTCGCTGTCTTTTCTGTTGCTGATTTTGTTGTTTCTACCTCTGAGGAGGAGGATTCTGCTGTAGAAGACGTGTCTCTCAGTGAACATTTATGGAAATGCTCCTCCTCGACATCTGACTGTATTGGCTGTTTCTTCCGTTCTTTTTTCGGATGCTCATCCTATACAATTATGAGTACAGTTATGCAATACTCTACCGATTCTTTGCAAAACTGATTACGGAAGAAATAACGAATACACTGGCATGAATAGTCTCTTTAACGTCTTTAAAATGCTAGAAGCATAAATTTTGGAAGAAAACTTTGACACTATATCCTTTTTTAAAAATTACATTTTTAACAACCCACTCTTCCCTTTTTTTCTTTTGTGCAATAATCAGGGCTTAACCAATAGAGAAAAAATATGGGTAAATCGAGTGCATTTATAAACTGATTTTCGATTGGGTTGCCTAAACTTTAACTCATCATTTTAATATAACCTGTAGAGATTCCAAAGGCTGGAGACAAAAGAAAAATTGATGCATATAGACTATATTATTGCTATATTATTGCTTGATGTTTACTTCAAACAAAAAGTTATAGATTGAAATTTAGTTGCAATTCTTCATAATGTAGCATAACCTTAATGACGAATATGAATATTATATGTACATTTCCTAGTGTAAATACATAGATACAGTGTATATATTACACGCATATTCAATTGCCCCTTGTCCTTACCAAGAACTACATTTAGAATCGCTTTTCTTATGATTAATTCATTTTATATTACCGTTTTGGTCTCAGTTTCTCTGTTTCTTTCTTCTGATTTCTCAATGATGTCTTGATGGATATTGTTTTGTTGTGATGTTGCAACCTGAGCAACATTCTCTGTTTTTTCAAACAATGCTTCTTGTAGTCGGTAGGTCGATAGAGAACCAAATAATTCAAATACTTCAACTCTGTGTGGACATCTCGGGGAAAATATGGGGAAATAGGTCCTCCTCATTTCGGTGAAGTCGATGGATTTCGATTTCTCTAAAGAATCTGAGAGCTCCAAATTTCTAGATTTGTAATCCATTGACATAGCTACATCATTGGCGGTTAGTATAGCTGTAACGTTATCCATTGCTTCTTCGGCTTGTAAAACTAAGTTTTCTGTGTCTTTCTTGATCTCGTTGAGTATTGTTGTATGTTTCATTCTGTTCTTTGTTACATTGGTTTTGTATTCTGTTGCTACATTTTTGATTGCACAAATCCACTCGCCTTCCTGTTTTGCAATGGATTTCAAAATCTCTTCATAGTCATCTTCCAAATTGCCTATCTCTTTTTCTGCTTTAGTCACAAGCGCATTACATTGAGGAATAAAAGTATTTTGCAGTTCATCTTTATCCTTAATCATAGTTGTTGTTTGGGGCGTAAAGAGATCTAGAATCTCTACAGTCTTGTGGTTTTTGTGTTCCCCTGCTGCAATGCAGTTAGAACAAATGGGGTCATGACAAGTCTCGCAAAGCTTTTTGCAATTCTTGTTGGAATGGATTTTGCATTTTGGATACTTTGGGTACACCCTTCTCACTGAAAAATTGACCATTCTATGTTCGCCAGGCACATCCTTTGAGAAATGCTGGATTATTTGACTTGTACACAGTTTTTTATCACATGTCCTACAGTACTGATGATCTGAGTCATACAATTTACATACTTCACATTTTGTCGTATTCTTGTCCATCTTTAAAATTTAAAAAAAAGGATTTAATTTTGTTTTTACTTGTATTTACATTTATGTATGAACATCACATTTTTTAAGATCTATGATTAAAATTTCTATTTTTAAAATCATTTTATATCTAATTTATTCGTCATATGACATCTGGCCACAAACTGCAAATACATCTGTTGTTTGTTTCGTTTTCTTTGCTTTCATGATTATAACATTCGAAAAGAAAAAAAAGAAACTCACCTTTTTCGTTCAAGGTGCATGCATTTGTAAAATACGACTTCTATTTTTCTTATCTATTAATCAATGTCGAAGTATGCCTACTTTCGATATTAACACATGCTTATAACTTCTCCAACTTGCCTACTAATGTTACCAACAATGATACGCAATTTAAACTTCAAGGGTGTTGTGTTATTTTCAGTAGTGCGATTACGAGGGCAAAATACCAAATTTTCTGTTAACACACATTTCCGACATAGGTTGCACCTTTCTATTATCATGTGATAAAAAAATTTACATCAAAAATTTTTAAAACTATGTGACGACGATTTGATTCTGAAAAAGAAGAAAGATGGGGCGGCATTTTTTTTCGAGTTAGATTATTTATTTTCATTCCTTCACAGGGCAGAATGATCATTTCCAAGATGACCGGGGACAGAATATTTATTCTCCGAGTACTGTACAACAAATATTTGAGAAGTGGTGTTGGTCAGATGAGTATACTCACTCCAACGAACTTTTAGAAAATCTGAAATTACAAAATTTTACCAAACTCGGTAGCATTAATACAACCATTCCCCAAACTTAATCAAAGACCATACTTTTTTGACGTCGATCATAAACAACTGCTTCTTCAATGAAAATAGAACTCATGAACTTGCATATCTTGTCATTGGTCATCTGCAAACTTTTTTGTTAAGAAACATTCTGATTCGACACATAAGTTCTCCGAGGTTGTTGATAATAGAAAGAGCTTGAGTTTCTCATTGACATTGTCTATGTAGTTTTCGGAGACCAGATTTCCAACAATCTGTACATACTACGTGAAATTGTGCCTGGTTTTAGCAGATCTATTTTTGTATTCATATGAAGCAAAGTTTATTAAAAAACTTCTACATAAAAAGAAGAAGTTTTGCTATTGCTTTAATTAAGATATATCGACGACGTTTCATCAATTAACAATATTCATTTTCATTCCTACGTAGATTCTATATATACAATTAAAGTCAAAACACCACAGAGTCTGACACATCTGTTTCAGATTCGGATGTTTTTTTACTTGAAAAAGGCTTTGATAGCAAACTAACAACAAAACTTTATGATAGATGTGATGACTTCAATCGTCAACTTCCCTTATTTATGTAGTGATGTACCATTATCACTTACATATGGAGTGTATGTATCTCACAAGAGCAGGATCTACGTACGAACAATTTTCAAAAACGAGGCAAGCTATTCACAGATAAGTTGAACATTTAAAACAAAATCTGTTATAAGTGTTCTTGCTCTTATTCTTTTTTCAACTATAGTCCCGCTGGACACGTCATTACCTGTGATGTTAAAATACATGTAGTTGAAAATGACGACCTAAAAGCAATAATTTTATACACGGAACTTCATTTCTATTATGAAATTTGTCGAAGATTACTAGTATGTCAGAGGTTGGGCTAAATATGAATGGATTAAGTGTTTTGGCCATATATTAAAGTGTCGTGTCAGAAACTTAAAAAGCAATATGAGAAACGTCTTTCCTTCCGTTTTCACTATATCGGAGGTGATAACAGAATTAGAAAGACTACATGTACATGAACAATATGTTATGGTTCCAGCAGACAAGGCGTGTAACAATATTGTCTTTATTTGTAAAGCTCATTATTGTAAGTGTATTTTAGAAGAGCATGATTTTAATTCTACATCAGGGAATCCAACTTATACTCACAGACTTCAGTGCACTTTCTAAGGATGAAATTCTTCAAAATCACTTTTCAGTGTTTAATACTTTTAATAACACAGTCAATCAAGGTGAGTTCGATCTACCCTACCTATACTGGATTCCTAAAAATATTAACTGTTGTAAAGGAGAAATTCCAGACGTACCGTGCTACAGAATATTCTAGAAGTGGTGTAATTCAGATGTCGATACTCAAAAACTCCAAGGAACTTTTAGAAAATTGAAAATCACCAATTTTTTCAAAAGTCAGTAACATCAATACGACTTTTCTACACTTTATACATGTACAGTCTCATAAATTTTTTTTTAAAAACTAGGCTTTTTAATTTCATAGACAAAATATTCAATAAAAATGGAATTCGGAAATTTTCATATCTTAAGATTGGTCATCAACAAAATTAAAAATCATCCTGATTCTACACATTAAGACTCTAAAGTTGATATTAAAAGAACGCTGGAGTTCCTCATTGACAATATTTATGTAGTCTTTTGTCTTCCCACAAACTGTTGAAATTTCGATTGGCCTTAATTGTACTCCTTTATTATCCGAGAAAACACTAGATTTAGATACATGTATATTGATGACGTTTTATCAATTTACAACTGTTATTTCCATTCATGTGTCGACTTCATGTATCCCAGTGAACTCGAAATAAAAGACACCACAGTGTCGCCACATCTTGTTTTACCAACTATAGATGATAAGGGCCATATACCAACTACTCTTAAATTGCATGACAAATGCGATGACTTCAGCTTTTCCATCGCCAACTTTCCTTATTTATGTAGTGATATTCCGCTATCACCTGCATATGGTGTTTACGTGCTCATTAGTTACTCAAGAGCTCGCTCTGATTTCGATCATTTTTTAAACCGAGGCAGATTACTGACAGATAAGTTGATATTACAGGAATTTCAACAACCTTGTTTAAAGTCAGCATTTCGTAAATCCATGGTCATTGTAATGACCTTGTTAGCAAATATATCCTATCAATGGGTCCTATTTTGGCTGACTTTTTTCATACCAATTGTTATGCCTTTGTTTTTATACTAATTTGACTACAGAATATTCCTTCTACCTGATCAATACTTAAGGCTCACGGCGGGTGTGTCCGGTCGACAGGGGATGTTTACTCCTCCTAGACACCTGATTCCACCTCTGGAATTTCCGGGGGTCCGTGTTTTACTGATTTGTGTTGTTTGTAGATTTTTGTTTGAGATCGATCACTGTTTGTTATCTTCATTTTTTTTTTCATTGATGATACAAGGATATCAACAATCTCGTTTAAAGTCCACATTTTGCAAAGTTTATGTTCGATATTTTGATCATGTTTGCAAATAAAATCTGTCGTTAAGACAAATGTTGATTGACGTCTTTCATACAATTTGTTAGGCCATTATTTTCACATTGAATTGTCCACGGATTTTTCCATTTACTCGATCATAACAAGGAGAACACGGCGGATGTTTTCGGTCGACAGGGAATGCTTCCTTCTCCCTGGGACCGGCTCCCATCTCTGTTTTCAGAGGCCCGCACGTGTTGGCTCTGTTCATGATCTGCATTGTTTAAATAGACTTTTGAGAATGACCATTGTTCGTTATCTTTACATTTCATTTTTCTTCACTGGAAAAGTTCGACAAGCAAACCTTGATTAAAGGAGAACTTTAAAACTCTATGTGGGGTTGGGTCCTTTAATTTTTTAAAGGAAGAAGAAGTTGTAAATTTTGAATTTACAAGGTGTGGGTAAATGCAAAATTTACATAAATTTAAAATTACATGATAGAAGGCACACAATTTGTTGGATGAAAATAAAACGGGGAATTCTTTTTGCCACCTTATCAAAAATGTCATGAAATTTTAGCAAATTTACTGTAAATCAACATTAATTTAGCTGTTAAAAAGGCTGAATATTCACCAGTTTCGTGATGAAATCAGCATTTCCTGGACACTCAATGTTAGCTGTCAGAAATGCTATAAAGCTCATTAGCTTCCGGGGGCTTCGCCCTCTGAGCCCACACTATGGCTTCGCCCCCTGAGCCAACACTACGGCTTCGCCCTGAACCAATTGGGGGCCTCAAGACAACCCCAAAACCCCCTGCCTTTGTGCTTCCACAGCAAACAAGCCCTAGCTTCGCCCCCCAAAATCCATTCCAAAGTAACAATAAACCCTACCTAGACCAAATTGGCTTGAATAAGCATCTTTCCAGAACTGCCTCGGATGCTGCTTTTTTGGATGATTAAACTGATTAAAGATTTTAAATAGGTCCATTCCAAATTAACTATAAGCCCTAAATGACATTCAAGATACCGAAGTTTAACTGTATATGAGCACGATAATGCATTAACCCTTTTAATTTGGATAATTGACGTGAGGTTTTGAAACAGGTCTATTAAACTTGACCAAACTTGTATGGACATTGCGTTTAGGAATATACAGTATCAGATCTGCATTGGGTTCCGCATCTGACCAATATTTTCTTAATGATTGAAAAGTTAAAATGATTGACTTAAGTTCTGGAGCAGGTCATGTCCCAAGTAAAATTGTAAGCCCTAATCAGACCATACTTGCAAAGATGTTACACAATACCAGACAGTATAGTCCTCTTTTGTAATGTTAACTACTACAACTGCATTTCAGAAAGCGTTGTTTTTAATTTCTTTTCAAGGATGAAACTCTTCAAAATCATGTCTCGGTAATAACATCCGAAATAGATTTACTTTACAAATGTACCTACATTGGATACCAAAACTTCATAAAAATCCTCACAAAGATATATTGCAGGGTCCAGTAAATGCTCGATCAAGCCCATCATTGAAATCACAAAGTTTAAAACAAGTACTGCATCAACAAAACCAGCATTTGATACACTAAAAGTCAACTGTATTGAAGTGTCAAATCCAATAGTGTTCTTAACCAAAGTCACTCAAGCAGAAGGTATAAGCCTTCAAATCATTTTAGGTAGTCATTTAAATGATTTGGACATCTACAATTTACAATCTCAATAAGACCTATGTAATGATTTTTTTTTCATGATTACTTGAAAGAAAAAATAAATACCTATATTTATAAATTCACTGTTATAAATATTTAATTCAACAACATATGTCATAACATACAAACTTTTAGTTAGCAATCATTCAGAAATTTTAATTCACATACACACACTTTCTTTATTTAGTACATGATTCAGCGCGAGTGTTCTAATACACCCAATAACAAATTGTTTAACATTTACCAGTTCACTTAATTGTTTAACTACATTCACTAACTACATCACTCATACATACAAGACAAACATATACATCTATATCCAATTTGATATAAATCATAAACATAATCAAAAGGAAAACTGATAAAAAATACTTTGCCACAAGCTTTTATAAAGTTCTAAGTTAACTATTTGTTTACCATAGACTTTAACCAACACATTTCCTGTCTTAGAGCATTTACAAACATTTTAATGGAAGTATAGAGTTTTGATTTATAATTAGAAAGAAAAACTAACAAACATACCCTGAAGTTATCATTATGACAGTGTACAACTCTCATATACTCTCATACCTGGAATTCTTGCAGATACAAATCAGTAAAAAGTTTTCATACAGATAACGTCAAGTATTACAATACAATATGCACCCATATTTTCATTCATTAGTACGCACCATATTTAAAACTATTTATTTTAGGTTTCTAGTTGTGATTTAAGGATCTGTACATACAGTAAGACTTGCTTTATATGTCTAAAACCTTCTGTTTTTTGCAAGCCATAAGCTATCATGTCCACATGCTAAGGCATGACTTACAAGATTAAAAACAACATTTTCATATATTCCACGTTTTTCAGCCCTAAATAATGCATTCAGCCATTAAAATGCTGTACAAGATGATGTTACTACATGTAGTTACTGACAACTGTATTCACACAACGCATTTGTAGATACATTCATTATCTCATATGATAATACTTTCAAATCTTTCTACTTTATGGTTTGATAAAAATAGATTGACACATGGACGAATGGTTTTCATTGGGTAAGAAGAAAAGGTAGGCTAAGTCTTGTACATATGAAATAGATCAGTGTTATATTCGTAAGTTGGACTTGATTGAAAAAATGTGTTTTATGGGTGTACAATCGGTAAAGCTAGAACTTAGGCAAGCCTTACCATGTGTACTGCCCTAAAGCAGTTTGAAAGATGTATCATAGACAAGTGACCAGTCATTGATATCAACAAAATGTCTGCAATGAATTAATATTAATTATCAACATGAGTGCATTGTATCAAAATTAAGCAAAATACAGTCTCTTTAAATAAGCAACCACTTCACAGTGTATCTAACATAGCATGTCAGTAGTGCACTTAGCAAACAATGAGCAATATATTTAGACAAACAACACCGTTTTCTAGAAAAATTGCTTAAAAATTATATTAAACATATTAGACTCAACGTAGTTTATTAAATTTATATTTCTCATAATATAATCCAAACCCACAACAAAATATTCTAAAGACTTCATTCCAAAATATACACCACTGTAAAAAAAAATTAAATATTCACATAAAAGCTTTTAGGACATGCCCCTAATAAGCCACATCCAAAAACCTACGATTCTTAGGTAAGAAAAAAAAAACAAACAAAGAAAAAATATCGACAATAAATGAGAAAAAAATCACAAATCATGCTTACTTTGTAAAACTAAATTGGTATAAAATACTGGTTGTCAACTCAGCAGTGAATCTATGCTTCTATTCTTTGACATTCAAACTTTTTTTCAGAATAAGAGGCCCAAGGGCCCCACTGCTTACTCTTGTTACATTGCTATTACTGAAATATAAACAAGTCAGCATTTACACTATATATAAAATTGTAGCCTTGTAACTAATCTATATCCTGTTTGAATATTGTGACCCCAAATGTGGCCCCATCTCTCCACTGGGGCCATGATATGAACAAACTTAAAATCTCCATGACAAAAGAAGCTTACAGTCTCTCATTCTTAAGGAGAACCTATAAATATGTATGCTTCTTCGTCAATTTGATAATCTGTATCAATGCTGCATTTCATACATGAAGTTTTTTTTGCTTGGAAGTCCTCTACGTAATATTGTGCATGTACTACTTTTTTATGCCTCACACGGCCCTTCATTTTTTTTTAATAATATAAAATAATTAAACCTATATAGGCATGGATGTTGTCAATTTTGATTAAAATTTGACTTATCATTCCAGCAGAAAAGAAAAAAAAATTGATATTATATCAACAAACATCTATTAGGCAATAGATAAACTTCGTTCACACAACTCATTTGAACCTTTCCAATGGTGAATTAAAAATGTCAACAAAATACACAATTTACAGGACTCTGTACAGTGGTGATAAAAGTGGGGCCTATTTGGTATTGAATTTTTGTGTCATTTTGTTTGTGCTTTCAAGGAAAACTGGGACATTTGATTAGGCATCAATTTAACAAACCACTCTTTTTCTGTTGCAAAAACAAACAGTGATGCACAAATGAGATACAACTATCAGTTTTCTTTCAGTAGTTGGTAGTTTCATACATCTTCCTTCCTAAACTAATTACATTTGTTTATCAGACTATTTTGTGTGAACAACACACTCAGCTTCCATTTGATGTTTTAGGAGTCACTCAGATATCGGACCACAGAATGGTTTTGCGTTGTTTTTCACAGCTCAGAACATATGAACCCACTGGATGCCAGGAGCAAGCTATCACAGAATGCCTGTAAAGGAACAGTGTTGGGTTTGATTATTCAAAGGAGATATCCTTTTTTCTGCTAGATCTTTCCACAAATATAATTGTTTTTTTTCCTCTGGGACAATTTAATAAAGTAATGTATTAATCACCTATATAAGTGTACCTGTTTGTCGTACATCCAGTTACTGATCAGAATGACTTACGTGTACCTGATTGTCATACATCCAGTTACTGATCAGAATGACCTACGATGTACCTGTCTGTCATACATCCAGTTACTGATCAGAATGACTTACGTGTGTTCTTTGAGGATCTTTTCTACTTTTCCCCTTTTGACATTCCAGATAAATATTGCACCGTCACTGGACCCTGCAACCGCATAGCTAGTGTCTGGACTGTTAATCAAATTAAAAAGAAAAGAAGAAAACCTATTAAATACACTGTACACTTAATTGTTAAGATTAAAACAGCAACTTAAAAATTCCTTTATAAGTCATGATGCACAGCAGTGCATCAAATTTCTATCAAACACATGTAACTGAAAGTTAAAAAAAAAACCTTCCGAAAAATAAGCTTTTATGGTCATTAAGGAGCCATAATGTTACAGAAAGTTTGGATATCAATAAGAACACATCTTTTGACATGCAGCTCTCTATACAACAGTGTACCGTTTCAAATATCTCAAAGTCTAACACTGAGAACTTCTGGAAAACAAGAGTGAGTGACAGCTAATCAGACATAGTAATGGAAACAAAGCTAAATCAATTTTTATTCCAGATACAAATTGTTCAGAAAAAGCCAGTATTCAGTATTCCATGTCCAGTATGAATAGACTTTTAACTGTTTACCTGAAAACAGCTCTTGACCAATCACAGCCAACTTTGAAATCATCATGACTGAAAAGGAAAAAAAGCATATTATATCGATCAGTTTAAATGGAAATCAAATAGACTGGGTTCTAAGTTAAAATTATTTGACATCAAGCAGATGCATGTCAGTCCTTTGCAATAAATTAATTCATAGTGTTTTAAAATGTGTGCTTTGGAATTTGCAAGTTAAATATTTCTGATCTTTTTTCAATACAAGATTTATTACAGTAAAGGAAAAATGAAATGTATACTCTACACCATCTAATACACAATTACTTTGAAATTCATGTACGCTTATGTGTTACACTGAAAATTTACAAATGCTATCGTCCAAGTTACTTTCATGTTTGCCATTTATTTTGACATTTTTTTGTGCTTTGAGAAATAAAAAGGACACTTTTCTCAGTCAATTTATTTCTGTATCTTGAAGCGAAGTATTCTCTTACGCTAGTGTAGTAGATATTTGGTTCATTCTCAAGTCTAACACCTTCAAAGTGTCATCTCTTGTACAGCACAGCAGACTCAGTTTGTCTGAAAATGAACATATTTTCTATTTCCTCATTTTATTTAATATAACAGTATTCCAAAATCAATACAAAAGGTTTCAATATGGCATTATTTAAGGTAATTAAATTTTTTTTAATAAATAATTTTTTTTTTAAAAATGGATGGGTGGGAAACAAAACCAGTCATACCTGGAGACAAATCTAGAGAGGTCAGCCTGCCTTGTAGTAAGATTTCATTGGTGCTGCTGTCTGCACGACTATCCCAGAATCTCACTCTCTTGTCAAAATGTCCACTGAGAATGTTTGTTCCATGGATAGTCACTAAATCATTACAACTTGAACCAGCAAATATTGTTTTCACACCTAAATGAAAAACAATAAAAGCATACAAGAAAATTATCTCTATTTGAAAATATAATGCCGAAAGTCTTTATATACCTTCATACAAGTTATGTTTAAAACAAGCATTCTGCTACTAATCCTGAGTTCTCTTTATAGAAAATAGCTTTAAATGGACTTGAAACATTTTCTTTTGTAAAGACAGAATTATGTCTACTGTATCAAGCTCTACAGTAGAGTCCCCTTGAAAAAACTAACAAGATGTCCCTACTTACAAGACCTGCTGTGTAAATCCCATATTTTGAGAGTCCTGTCATGGCTCCCAGAGACAACTTTATTGCTGTCACCAAGAAATTTAGCTGCAAGGACTTTTCCACTGTGGCCTGTTAAAGTGTGCTGTAGATACAAGATCATAAAGTTTACTGAATGTGTAAAGGATTCAAGTATATACATGTACTTCTATTTTTTTTTCTTAAATCACTCTCAGTTGTGTTTGATGTTCAGATTATTTTTTTTTTTCAAATTCAGAACTCACCCTAACTCTGTGATCTGTGAGTGACCACACCCTGCTGGCAAAATCATTGGAAGCTCCAAGAATGGTGCTCTCCTAAAATTCATATTACATAATATTTTTTTGAAATTTATTCATTATGTACAATTGTTATAGCAGAGACATCTGTCACTTAGTTTTACAGTAGCTTCTTGTCATAAGATATAAACAGCTGCTTCTATATCCTACCTCTGGATCAAAATCCAGGGCCATGATGCCAGCATTGCTTCCTGTCAAGACACCTTTAGATTCACATTTACCTGCAATTAATCAAATCTCCTGTCAAACCATGTATAACTCTAAAACCCGAAAAGCATGGAACATTCTGACTTTTTAATTTTCTTACCATTAATGACCTCCCACAGTTTAATCTTTCTGTCTGACCCTGCTGTGGCAAACATTGCTCCGGAGGGGCTCCATCGGACAGCATTAACATCACTTTCATGGGCATCCTAAAATACAAATACACAATGACCATTTTCATCTTTGAGCACATCCTCAGGGATTAAAGCAGAGAGAACACTAAGCCTATCTAAGATACATATTTTTCCAATTATCATTTCTTCATTAAAAAAATTATCTTTACAAATTGTTTTTATCATGAATTTGGATACAGGGATAAAAATCAAAATAAACTTACAAATTTGTGTTGAGCTTTTGTGGGTAATGAGGCACTCAGACATATAGGAATTGCCGTGGGAACAAAAACACCCGCATCTCTGTAATATAAAAAAAATATTTTCATTAAAATTTTATTTCGCTACAGATCAGCACAATAAATACTCACAAGCTGTTATTATTATTGAATAAGCTTAATACAAAAACTGTCACTGCTATAAGAATGCATAACCATATCAAACTATTTGTATAAATATTATTTCACACATACTTTCCGGGTAAAATTGGAATATTTTCCCTTGCTGCTTCTTCCAAGTCTTTCCTTAACTTCTGTTGTCGTACTCTTAAAAAAGAACAAAGAAAAACATTTTTACACTTAATTTCAATTTTAATTTAGACCACATACAGTTTACCCTCGGTAATTTAGACACTTTACCTTCCAAACAAAATTTTTGGGTAACAGAATTTACATTTACTGTATACAGGGAAATTTTCGCCCCTGTTTTATTTTCGCCCCTTTCGCCCTAGACGCAAGTGGGCGAATATAAGACTGGACGAATTCAAAGAAAACAGTATAATTTCTTAAACAAAACAGTGACTGGGCGAAATTAAAACGTGGCAAAATTGTTTGCAAGTGTGAAAGGGCGAAAATAATACAGGGTGAAAATAACCCTGTATACAGTATATATACAATTATAAAAGGTATGTTTCAGTAACCAGGATCCCTCATCTTATTGGGAACACAACCTGCTTGATTAACGAGGGTCGACTAGAACTAGATACTCTTTATTTTCACCCTGTGTCATATGTTATAAAACAAAAAAAAACATCCAGCCTTACCCAGTACCTAAGACATGAACTGGTCATTCTCAGCATTGAGTTGGTCAGCTCACTATTAATGTTTGTACATGTAAATAAACACTCAACCTTAATTACAAGGTATTTCATTTATATATCATTTTAAACTGCTATACCTATCATTTTAATTTATAAGTAATATCTGGAAAATGTTGATGTTGTGATGACATAATGACATTATAAAATTGTTATTGATTAATGAAGATGGCTACACCAAGAGAGATGGAGAAGACTTCAAGAAGTTTCCCAATACTCCTCTGATTTAAGCCACTTGGACTTTTTCCGTCTTTTATGACAACAAAGTATATACACCACTGCCGTCTACCATTGAGAACCTGAAGTTCGTAATACCCAGGAAAATTCAGAAAGTTACTCCAGACATGTGCAGAAATGTGATCACTAATTTTAAGTCTTGATCTCATGCTTAATAAAAAGAGACGTCATATAGAGCATCTCATGCTTAATCAAAACGAACATCATATAGAGTATGTGCTGTTAATAACTGCACTATTTTGTTAGGCAGGATTGTAGTTTGAAAAAATATGTAAACTATATGTGACATATTCTGTATAAAATGTCAAAGGATGTATTAAAAATTTGATACATGTTTCATTAAATTTCATTATATTTTTTCTCTTCAAAATGGTATCAGATGTTTTGGATCACTCTCTATGTGTACATGTATAAACATTCTTGGTTAACTTACATGATCTGACCATTCTCGGCATTGAGCTGGTCAGCCCGTAATGTATATATGTGTATAAACACTCCGGCTAACTTACAACATGATCTGATCATTCTCAGCATTGTGCTGTTAAGCTTACTTTTAATTATGTGTATAAACACTCGGGCTAACTTACAACATGATCTGAACATTCACAGCACTGTGCTGTTAAGCTAATTTTTAATGTATGTATGTGTAACTTACAACATGAACTGGTCATTCTCAGCATTGAGCTGGTCAGCCATTTTGGCCTGTTGTCTGATCCACCTCTCCAGCAGTTGTTGGTTGTCCAGCTCTAGTTTACGGAATTTCTCCTCTAGACCTGTGTATGTCAGCTGTAAGGCCTGATGCTCATCCTTAAGCATCTATCAAAAGAACAAGGTAATCAGAGATTACAGAGGTCACATCAACGAATGTTGTCTTTAAGTAAGGCAAAGTCCCACACTAAACTAATAATCTAGGAGTGTGCATCACTAGATGCAACATTTATGCAATTGTGGTCTGATAGGGCTTGCAGTTACTTGGGAATAAACTTATCTGAAAACTTAAAACTAGTCACTCATCCAGAAAATGTAAGTCAAATCCAGCATCCGAAGAAAGTTTGAGATTGTTTGTCCCTTGATGCATCATCCATGCAAGTTTGGTTCAGATAGGCCTTACAGTTACTTGGAAATGAGATCTGCTCCAAAAAATTTAACTTGGTTACTCATCTGGAAAATGTAGGACAGATCCAGCATCCGAAGCAAGTCCAGTAGTGTGCATCCTTAGATGTATCATCCATGCAAGTTTAGTCAATATAGGGCTTATAGTTACTTGGAAATAAGATCTGCTCCAAAAACTTTAACCTGGTTACTCATCCAGAAAATGTAGGTCAAATCCAGCATCCAAAGCAAGTCCAGGAGTGTGCATCATTAGATGTATCATCCATGCAAGTATGGTCAATATAGGGTTTATAGATACTTGGAAATGACATATGCTCCAAAAACTTTAACCTTGTCACTCATCTGGAAAATGTAGGTCAGATTCAGCATCCGAAGCAAGTCCAGTAGTGTGCATCCTTAGATGTATCATCCATGCAAGTTTGGTCAATATAGGGCTTATAGTTACTTGGAAATGAGATCTGCTCCAAAAAATTTAACCTGGTCACTCATCCAGAAAATATAGGTCAAATCCAGCATCCGAATCAAGTCCAGTAGTGTGCATCCTTAGATGTATCATCCATGCAAGTTTGGTCAATATAGGGCTTATAGTTACTTGGAAATGAGATCTGCTCCAAAAACTTTAACCTGGTCACTCATCCAGAAAATATAGGTCAAATCCAGCATCCAAAGCAAGTCCAGTAGTGTGCATTCTTAGATGTATCATCCATGCAAGTTTGGTCAACATAGGGCCTATAGTTACTTGGAAATGAGATCCACTTTAAAAACTTTAACCTTGTCACTCATCTGGAAAATGTAGGTCAGATCCAGCATCCGAAGCAAGTTCAGTATAGGGCTTATAGTTACTTGAAAATGAGACCTGCTCCAAAAACTTTAACCTGCTCCAAAATCTTCAACCTGCTCCAAAAACATTAACTTGATCATTCTTTAGCTGAAAATGCAGCATCTGAAACCTTGACTAGTACAGTGAAACACACTAGAAGCATCCTCCATGCACCTCTGATTAATATAGGCCATACAAGTACTTGAAAAGAAAACTGCTCCAAAAACTTTAACCTGGGATACCGACGCCGACGCCAAGGGTATTACATAAGCTCCCCCAACTTCGTTGAGGTGAGCTAAAAACGAGAAATACAAACATAACCATACAGCATTTTTAAGTTGATTTTGAATTTCAGGTAGTTTCAAAATATGACTAACTTAACCTCTCCCTGATAGTCTAAACCCTGAATCCAGGGGCCATAATTATTTTCAATTTTGGTAGAGGGCTAGCTGCTTATTATAATTATGCACTCTGTTTGCTTTCTATTAAAGTGCTAAATGTCCATAATAAAGAGGATTATCAAATGTGTAATGTTGTTTCTTAATAAGAATAATTTTGCTTCACTTTGGGACTTGAACCCTGAACTTGGGAGCTATGAATTTTAAACACTGATAAAGCATTAAGTACTTATTGTAATCATGCCAGCTAGATGTCCATGAGTAAATAAGATTTTCAAACTTATAAGGTATTTTTAATAAATGACCAACTTAGCCCCACTCGAGGAGCTATGAATTTCACAATTTTGGTTAAAGGCTGTAAGTACTATTGTAATAATCATGCCAACAGTTTGACTGCTTGATGACCAGAAGTAAAGAAGATTTTCAAAAATATGATGCATTTTCAATATGTGACCAACTAAGCACCTTCCTGGAGCTAGAACCCTGAACCCAGGGGTAACAAATTTTACAATTTTGGTAAAAGCTCTTTCATAAATCATAGTTAAGGCTATTCAAGTCAACAATGTGAATGCTTAATATCCTAGAGTAAATGCATTGATGGTTTTGGCCACACCTTTCAGGGCCCAGGGAGGCCAAGACCATGCAATTAACATTTTTTCCCCTAAATGCTATACACCCAAAATGGTGAAATTGGTTCAGCTGTTCCAGAGAAAAAGCTGCAATTGTTTAACAACAGAAAGCAATGAATCACCTGAGTGACCCAAATAATGCTTCTTTATGATTTGTGAAATAGAATGACAATAGAAACTTGATTTATCAAGTGTACAAGCAATTACTACACACAGTAATATGAAATCATGAACTCCATTAATTTTGAGACTGTGTTAACTCAGTACCTGATTTGTGGCCTCTAATTCCATTATGGTACTTTCTAAATTCTTTATTTCCATTTTCAATGCCAATTCATTAGCAAGTAGATCATTCAGTCTGAAAGAAAGATGTGATATTACATTGCAAGATCACTTAATTTTATAGCCTTTTACTTTTATTAGTGTTACAACTTTCCTTAAGCCTAATTAGAAATTTTGCTTAAACATATAAACAAAAGTTTATAATTCTACATTTAAGAATTTAAAATAAAAATGCAAAATAGAAATTTATAAATGATTTGCATTTGAAAAATGTTCCTTTAATACAATTCCTTTTAAAAAATGCATGGAAAAATGTCACAAAATCAGGAAGCCTGACATTATAAACAAGTACATGTACTAGTACATGTAGTACATGTACTTGGGTTAAATGAAAGGCCAAGGGACACAACACTCACCAGAGTCACTTCAGCCATGTTGTTTATAAGATTGAAAAAAAGATTTTTTTCTCCTTTACATTCCCATGAAAAATTGTGACACCATAATATTATAGCCCCACCCACGTCTCTGAATGCACACAATATGTAGATGAGTCAATATCTATATGACTAAATGGTCTTGTAGTCATGGATAAGAGAATTCTTTTCCTGCACACAAGCATTTTGTGAAATTAGATCCCAATTAAGCCAACTCTAACCCAGGGTCTATAATTGGGAAGAAAAAAAATTTGAATCCACACAACTCGTAAATATTTGCAACTTAATGGTTCTACTGTGATTTTTGAGAGAATTTTTGGAAAAATTTTCTTATGTAGTCCAATGTAAAACTTTGATCCCCTATTGTGGTCCCACCCTACTCCCAAAACCCATGATTTAAAGAATTTAGATAATACATTATGTCAGGAAGCTTGACAGTAAGTTTCATCTTTTCAGGTCCATTGGTTCTTGGTCTTGAGAAGAAGATTTTTAAAGATTTGTTACAGTACATTCCAATGTGAAAGTTTGTTCTCCTATTACACTACTACCTATTCCTAACCCCAGAGCTCAAGATTTGAACAATTAAAATCTAAATAATATCAGGAAGCTTAAGTTTCAACTTTTCAGGCCCAATGATTATTGAGAAGAATTATAATTTAAAAAAAAAAAATTCCTGCTTATGCCAATGTAAAAATTTGATTTTCTATTGTGGCCTCATCCTAGCCCTGGGGGCCACGATTTGAACAATGCAGAATCTACACTACCTTAGGAAGCTTTCATAGATATACCTTATCTGGCCCAATAGTTCTTGAGAATAAGATTTTCCAAAAAAAATTTCTTTATACATGTATTCCAATATACAACTTTGATACCCTGTTGTGGCCCAACCATGACCCTAAAAGAAGGGGGCATGATTTGAATAATTTAGAATCTATACTACCCCAGGACGCTTTCCTATAAGTTTCACCTTTTCTGGCCTAGTGGTCATTGAGAAGATTTTTTAATGACCTGACCCTATTTGTGCTTTTCTTGATTATCTCCCCTAGGAAGGGGGCTTGGTCCTTCATTTGAATAATTATCCAATGGCTTTGTGCCAGCTTTGGTTAAAATTGGCCCAGTTGAAAGTGTGAAGAAAAATTTAGAGACAGCTGGACCAGTTTACCAGTTTATTAGTATCTCTTTGGTTGTTATTTAACAACATAGAGATCAAAGCAACATATTACAATTATAACAACATACATGCGTGAGCAAAACATGTAACATATATACAAAATGTGTTTACAATTGCATCATATTTCTATATATATATATATATATATATATATATAGATGTTATTACCCATACCGAAATAAGTTATAACTAAGTTATAACTTTTCTGTAACTTTTTTGTACCTCAAGAAAAAGTTACATTTTAGTTATAACTTTTCTGTACCTAAAATGGACTTAGCCATTTTTAGATGTAACTAAAATATAACTTTTCTGGACTTTGTCATTTTACTGTATAACTTTTTTGTACCTTTTTGAACTTAGCCATTTTCTGGTGTAACTAAAAGATAACTTTTCTGGACTTTGTCATTTTACTGTATAACTTTTTTGTAACTTTTTGGACTTAGCCATTTTCAGATGTAACTAAAACATAACTTTTCAGGACTTTGTCATTTTTCTGTGTAACTTTTTTGTACCTAATTTGGACTTAGTCATTTTGCAGAATGGCTACTTAGTTAAACTGAATATTTTTTTTTTTTTTTTTTTTTTACAATACACCTAAATTAAATTTTTTTTATATAACTGTTGAAATTTAATCATATAAAATATTAAATAAGCATAATTATATTAGTATAGTAATACAGTTTTAAATACCTGTAATATCTACAGAGGATTATATGAATAAAAAGGTGGGGATGATTAAGGGCTACATAAAGGTACCACTGTTTATATGCAGAATTTTCTTTATCTAAAAATTATTCATATAATGAATTGCATTATATACTGCTATTACTTACGCAGACATTTATTTTTCTGTTTTGTTGTGAGTTGAGATTTTTTTTTTAAAAGAAAAAGGGGGGCTTCTTAGACATCTTTACTACCAATGTTTTACTCATCCATTGCAGTCCACAGCCACATCCACTGTTAAGTTCAACAGAAGAGATGTGAAGTTGAGACTTGTAGTAAATTACATCTGAAGTTGGGAATAAATCTCTCTCTAAATCTGAGTCTCTCTCTCTCATTAATAAATATTGTTGTTTAATTAATATTTGTCTTGTAAGTACTAGTTTCATCTAAAGTTGGGAATAATCTCTCTCTCTCTCTTTCTCTCTCTCAGAAAATACGTATTATACAGATTTCATGTTTTGTAAATTATATGCATGTACATCTTAAGGTGGAATAATTTCCCTAATTCTGGAGAAATATAAATGTTCAAGAGATATAAACAGTGGTCAAATGTTATAATCTCATGAAGTCATTTAATATTTTGCACAGATTTTTCTTCGTGTGCGAAACAGTGTTAATTTCCCCATTGTTTTCTCGTGACACAGGTGTTTGTACTAGATGACCTTTTTGGCCTACACTTCGTAAATTTCAGCTTGTGTATTACGCAATGGTACAATTTTACAAGGGTTGGTTGAAATCTAAAGTAAATCAATCATAATAAGGGTGGCTAGAAAGATAAACAACAACATACAGTGTGTGTATGTTCATTTATTAACAGATATTACGATGTTGGGAATAAAGACTGCCAGTTATATTAAGATTTTAGCAGAAGACTAGGACATGTGGATTTTATTATTTGCCTGATTAAATAACCCAGTTTTACTAGTTATTTTCATAAATAAATAAAATATTAAATTCAAAATGGCGGCAACGACACAAATATGGCGGCCCCGACGTCCGTTTTGCATATATGGCAAGAATTTAGTGCTGACTTTCACCTATGTTCAATTGTAACCAGTAACACAGGTTACATAGCCTTTTCACTGAAGGAGCATTTATTCAGTTTTTCATTGGTTACACTGGTTACAAAGGTTACAGGGTTACACTGGTTACAGTGGTTACATTTACATGTACAAAGTGATTAGTTCTTAATATCTTCATTTGTAACCAGTAACACAGCTTCTGCTGAACAGGTCAGCATTTTTCATTTATTCAGTTATTAATTGGTTACACTGGTTACAATGGTTACAGTGGTTACATCTGTATCTACAAGTTCCCACTTGGATTTTATATGATTTGTCACCAAAAGAATATAGTTGTAACCAGTGTAACCTAAAAATAAAGACCCCTTTCAGTTTCAGACGATCTGTAACCATTGTAACTGATTGTCACCAAAGGAATATAGTTGTAACCAGTGTAACCTAAAAATAAAGACCCCTTTCAGTTTCAGATGATCTGTAACCATTGTAACCGATTGTCACCAATGGAATATAGTTGTAACCAGTGTAACCTAAAAATAAAGATCCCTTTAGGTTTTAGATGATCTGTAACCATTTTAACCGATTTTCACCAAAGGAATATAGTTGTAACCAGTGTAACCTAAAAATAAAGACCCCTTTCAGTTTCAGATGATCTGTAACCATTGTAACCGATTGTCACCAATGGAATATAGTTGTAACCAGTGTAACCTAAAAACTTTAAGACCCCTTTTGGATTTAAATGACCACCATCTTTAATTGAGAGATATATGTAACCTATGTTACTGGATTAAATAGTCTTGTAACAGGGTTACAATTGAACATAGGTGAAAGTCAGCACTAATTTCTTGCCATATCTACCGTTTTGGAACTCTGTTTCAAAATTTAACACCAACTGGCTTTTTAATATTTAAGATAAGTTTCAAAATACACAATTATGTTTATTTGGATTTAAAATAAATTAATTATGAATTATTTATTTTCAATCACGTGACTTATTCTAAGTCTCTGATTGGTCAATAACAGAGCGCGGATTTTTTCATGGACGATTTGAATGTTGGTGTGTTGAAAGTGTTGATAGAAAAACGATGACAAAATCATTCGGTAAGGCAATATTTATGTTAATATTTTGATGTTTTTGGTAGGAAATGTTTATTACCTCTAGATGGGCATTCAAAAAAGAAGAAATATATAGAATGAACAAAATTCTAGGCATGTGAATCTCAGATTTCTTGTTTGTTTTGATTGGTATGTCAATGACAAAGACTGAAGTGAAGAAATTGAAACATAATATTTTTTCAGCATTTAGTATAGGAACAAAAAATGTTATTCTTTGTCATATTTAATTCTTTAAATATTCCTATAGATCAGTTTAATTATTAAATGACCTATATTGTGTAATTGTTTAACAGATTCTCTGAACTGTTTTAATATTGTACATATTGTAGCCTTTAAACACCACATGATCATAACATGATATAGTGTACTGAAATGAGTAAAATAAAATTTCTAATTTTTATTTCATTTCAGCAGTATACTGGTACATTATTTCTTTCCATGAGCATCTTATGTATGTGCCAAGCTGGAGTGAAATCCTTCAAAAATATCACCTGTTTTAGGTAAGTAAATAATCAAATCTTATTTTTATTTCAAATTCGATAAATCTAAAGCTAATTCCTATAAAACTGTCAGGTTCTATATTGTTCTTTATGTTTAAAATTTTTTTTAATGC